ACGCCACTGGGCCTAGTTTCTCCAAAAGCGCGTAGCATCCGTCACTGGGGCTCGTGACCATGCCAGTTGGTGTTTCTTATTTGGAGATAAGGGGTGCCAGATAACGTTTCATTGGGATGTTTGAGGCACCATAAGAGTCATAAGAGGTTGAGTTGGTGTTGACCAGAACCTGAGAAGTTGTTTTCAACGAAGAAAGTCAACGCCATCTGGTCAAATAAGCAGGAACAGGTGGGTAGTGCTTCAAAAAGCAAAACGAAGCTGTACCTGCGCTTGCTTCCTTGGCACCCCAAGTTGCAGTTCCATGCAAGCTGCCACACAAAGAGGCTTTCAGTGCGAGAGGTGTACTGTAGCAACACTGTCCCCAATGGAATCGTTTGCCAGGTTATTTGGCCAACGAGAGAGTTTTCAGGTGGAGGTCCCAGCAGGTCTCGTATGCTTTCCAGATTCAGGCACCTTGGGTCACAGCGATTTTGTGGGACATTTCTTCAAAGCATGGCCACAGAATACCTCGGCCGCCGGGTGCTGTGGGACTGCACGCAGGACAAGCATGACAATCTCCTTTTCTTTGGGCTAGAGCCAAGTAAAGCCAAGGCAACAGTGCGGCATTATGGTCGTTGTTATTTACAGTGAGTTTTGCTGTCACCCTTCCATGTTCCAATCATTACATGTTCCAGCTCACTGCAACGTATATGTATTGTATATAATATACACATCTGGAGTCTATATCCCATACACTATATCCCAATCCAATTCTCAAGATGGTGCCGACAATTGAGTTCATCAAGTGCCAGCAATCCTCGAAGGGGGAGATATGGTTCGTGGATGTCCGAACTTGCCAACTTATCACTTCGATGCCTTTCTCATTTGTCCATCACTGGCTTAGATGCAAGGCCGGGTCCCAGGGACACCGGACACCTCGCACCTGAGCTGGCGATTTTGTTCGGAGAACGCATTTGGCCTCCCTGCCTTTTCTTTAACCATCAATTGTCGTGTTTACTTATTTTAATCGGTTTTACACTTTGGAGGCTACAGAGGCTAGACTGTTGAGGGTACTCAAAGTCTTCTAAGCTCAAATCAACCATTCCGTGCTCGATGTTGCGCACGCCGAGCACATGATTTGCGCAGGCTTTCAGCCTTTCGAGCGGATTTCCATAGGTCATGTGGTGAATTCCAGTCTGTCTCCATCCTCGCTGAACACGCGCGGAAGCCTCGCGATGTTGTAATATGTGGTAATTTCATTCTTGAAGAGCTTAATTCATGCTGCCGGCCTTAGGGAGTCGAGGAGCCAAACAGCAGCCGAGTGAGTTGATTGCCCCATCCAATTTACGTTGAGCCTTTGGATGCTACAGCTGGCTGCCATATATTTTGTTAATCAATTCCATTAACCTGAAACCGGCGTGTTGGCACGATCCAATTCCCAGTAAAGCTGTGCAAATGCCACTTGTCGTAGGGGGGGTGACTGGGCTGGCCTTGACCGTGTTCCGTCGTTGCTGTCACACACGTGGATGCGACAATGGTTCTTTGCCGAAAGTCCCGGCATTCACTTTGATGCTTTCTTGTTTGTCGATAAGTGGCAGAGAAAAAATAGGCAACTTTCCCAAAGTCCTTTCGAGACACCCGCAGGCCTGCGAGTCATGGATAGGTTTGTGGACCAATTCTTTTTTTTGCCTTCATGTCGTGTTTAATTGTGTATATGTCCCTTGTGCTGAACACCCTGTAGGCTGGGGAATGGTATCTACTGTAAATTGTCCAGTGTCCTGACAATTGGCCTAAGGCAGAGCTTTTGTAGTAGCTTTTGTCCCTTTTTTTCGGTTTTGCCAACTGGTCACAGGCTTAGCATCTCCCTTTGCAATTTTGGCTGCTATAGACGCAAAACACACTTGGCGGTTTGGGCATCCAGAAAGGTTTGGGCAAGGCTCAAGGAACCATGGAAATGTTTATGCCAGTGTGAAGCTCAAGTTGACCAGCCCATTCTCGATGTGGCACCCAGCATGTCATCTCTTCAACATGCTCGGCTGTGCTGATGTGAGGCTGCCGGGGATGCCAAGGGCTTGGCTTTTCTACCCGTCTAGGGAGTGCCACCTTGCAGATTCGTTTCGCTCACGTGATGCAGGTCACTCGCGTTTTTGCGCTGTGCGTGCTTGATTTGTCGAGGAGTAGGCTGCTTGCCATCTTGCGATTCATGGTTGAATTACTTTTTTGGTTGGACCATTGGGAAGCAGGTCGCGGAATCAAGACATTTTCCTGGAAGAAAACCGTAAGAAAATTGGTGGGCTTGTCTCGAAAGATTCAGAGGCTACAGCGGAGGGGTTTGGTGTGCTAGCTCTACCCACATGTGGTGATGCCGTATTTCCAACAGTAATTAGGTTTTGCGCCAGGATGCAAGGAACGTAAGTTTCTCCAAAGGTTTTTGTAGGATTGAGCCAATGTTGCATCACGCAGCTTGAGGTTGCTCAAGCTTGGGCGCTGTGTTTTGAGGCCATTGCAGAACCGGTTTGGATTCCATAGATTGTAACACGTGAGGTGTTGAAAATGGTTGCCAGGTCACCAGTGCAGAGAGCTTTTGTGCAGAGGAATGTGATATTTTTCCGTGGCCCATCAGTTGTTTACAATGACCCGTGTCACCAGATTCGACGTCGTCGTGTTGCTCATGGGGTGAGCCGTTGCCCCGCTTGATGTGCTCAATTCCCGGGTGACTTGAGGCGAAGATTGAGGTGAAAACGGGGATCCGTGAGAGGCAGGGCAAAAAGCCGTTTGCGCTTGTGGTACCAATGTGGTTTCCCGTTTCCCGTTTGTGTTGCACTCTAACCTTATATAATTACCTTTTGTGATAGATCACTCCAGCGAAGCAGGGTCGACAGGGACGAGGCCCTAGACCTTGGACATTGTCATGTAGGTTGCCGCCTAGAGCAGCTGAGGAGCCCGCTGCAAGGCCCTTGCGTTCGAGATTGGTTCAGTTGTCCAGTGTGGCCAAGTGATGGCCCTGGTGTGTGCCTAGACCTGGCTTTGGCTGGACACAGCTTTGGCCGCAAGTCGAAGTCCTGGTCGGCAATCATTTGAGAGTGGACATTGGCACCGACGGGCCTGCACTCAAAGTCAAGTCAAGTTTTCTCCTGTCAGACCAACGTCTCTCTAAGCCTTTAAGCAAGAGCTTGAAGCCACAGCTTGCTAAATAAGCAATGAGGGGACTGCAATACTAGCGGTTGCAAGGAAGAGAAGCACGATAGGCCAAGGATGCAGAGCAACCCAATTCGGAGGGCAATGTGTATACAAAAGCAACCAGCCATCAAAAACCAACAGTTTTCTACTGCATAAGCCGTGGAATGTGCGCAAGAAGGCTTTTTCGGGGCGCAGAAGGGCCACCAGTCGGGCCCATTTGCAGCCCCAAGTCGGGCCTTAAAGTTGCGAACGCCACGTGTCGCAGTCGGTCGAAGGTTACGCCATGTCAAGCTCCGACATGGCGTTCGTGACTCACTTGCCGAGATGTGGCGAGACAGTTTGATAGTAGCTGGCATTACTACTAGCAAGAAGCTACTAGTAACAAGGGCATCGCTACTAGGAGCAAGAAGCTACTAGTAGCTCCTGGCCATACCACTAGTAACAAGAAGCCACTAGAACATGGGTAGTTGAATTGGTTGAATGGATCCCCGCTCTTGTTTGGGACGTTGCGTTGCTCGCAAGCCGACTTGCCGGACCCGGTTACAATTGGTTAATAAACATTTACTTCAAGACTTCTACTGAGATGCACTGAGAATTCATGAACATTCAACATGCTCCGGCAGTGTTCCTCTTCGCTCCAGTTGTGACCCCCCCAGACCAATATAGGGCAGATGTTGATCTGAAGGCGATGGAGAGACAGGAGGGGAGAGAGAGGGAACACTTCAATCGCGGAATGCTTGCTGGCAAGAAACAATCGCCGAGGGATTGACGGAAGTGACTCCATGCCCCAGGTACAGGGTGGTTCTGGGCGTTCGGACCAGCGCTGTGAACGAAACTTGTGACACGTACCTTGTTCTGCGACGACCAGCGGGCAGCGCTGTTTTCCACCCCCCAAAAGCCTTCTGGGTCCAACATTGTCCAACAACCCAGAACTGCATTGATATTTTTTGTGGTGGCCTCTACAGTGAACTAGCAACTGGTGATGTGAAGGTTCGGGCTTGATGTACAAGTGCCCAGCTTAATGTACAAGTGACCAAGTGCCTCAGTTTGCTGTTGTGCTCCGGGCAGATGAATTCTTGAGCAAGGCCTTTGGATCAGAGTTCCCACTCTTTGGCATGCACAAGGAAGCTAGCATCAGCATCACACCTTAGGAATTACTGTACGTACTTCTGGAGGCTAGAAAGCGCAATGAGCCCTTTTGCATTACACTGTCCACCTTTCTGTGGGGCTCATCTCAGTTGAAATAGGGGCAAGTTTTAGCCGCAGCACTGAGCTTTTGCTGTGAACATATGGTTGATTGGAATGCGGCGGTGTCCCAACTTAGCCTAATCTGAACACACTCCAAAGCTGGTCAATTCCACTTACTAGGTGTTGGAAAGGAAGGGCCTGCATGGTGGAGGGTTCTGTCGCACGGAACGGTGTTCAAGGTTGCCTGGAAAGTCCTTCCATGCACCCCCTGAGCGCTTCGTGTGATTCATGTCTTTGAGCGCTTTGCCTGCCGCCTTCTGCTTAGCCTGCCGATGTGCTGCGACTTCACGGACGACTGGAAGGTGTGCAGTCGCAGACAAGTGGCTGATGAGTGTGAGACACTCAAAAAAGACCTGGGCCAAGCAAATCCAATCAAATCCAACACTCAACAGCGGTGCTCCAACTGGGTCCATGCTGTTGAGAAATTCGAAGCGACAAAGTCGAGCGAGTGCCACCGCATGTGGTGCTTCGAGCAGTTGCTTCGAGCGCAAAATGGCTTTTTCCGAGTGCTCACTTCCAATGTTAGATTAAAAATATATAGATTTATATCCCCGGTCGAGACTGTTGCTGGATCTGATGGCCGTTTTGCTGAGGATTCCGGTGCCGAGGGCTTTTGTGGCGTGGACCGCAGCCCGCAAGAGGGCGTTTGGTGCGAAGGCGAACAGCAACAAGTGCCAGCACCTTGTCACGGATGAGCCACTGTGGCACCAGGCGAAGCCTGTCCAAAAAGAGGTCCAACAGATTCCAACGGTGGCCCCAAAGGGACCATAGGGGACGGGGACCCAAACAAATTTATGAGTATTTGGTAGTATGTGGTATATATTAACTATAGCATAGGACAATTATATTCAGGCATATGCACACCTAGTCACACAACGGATGTATTTATACCGGGGAGAGGAGAGAGGGATAGAGAGAGAGAGAGAGCACGAAGAGCGCAGACCAGAGCATCGCTGTCTCCACCCAGGTTTCTTTTTGTGCGTTCAATAGTGAATAAAAAGCGGTTCATGTCCTGAGAAGATCAGAGGTGTGCTGGCTATGATTCAGGCATTTTGACATTGGGTGCCCTCAAGACCATCAAATATGAACGCATGAAGTGACACATGAGAATATGAACTCTTGGTCAACAAGATCCATCCTGCTGACACGAGGTTTGTGGGATGTGCGGCATTCTGTCGGATGCGACGTACCCCGAGCAAGTCACTCTCGTAGCTGGGCCTTTCAGTGGAAGCTTCGCGTAACGTGGGACTCGTCGCGTGTTAAACACAACATGACATGGAAACTGCAGTGTCGAAATTCAACCCTAGAGCCTCTATGATTACAAAGCCATGGACCAGATTTGCTAGCTTGAGATGCGTTGAGATGCAATAGGCGGATGGCGGCCACACATGAGGTCGCAAAGCCACGGATGAACCCACTCAGCAATCATATTTTGAAGCCTTGAGAAGGGTAATGGACGTCAAACGATTGTCGGTCACGATTGCAATGTGTTGTTTGACTTTGGTGGTTCTTCCTAGGTTTTTTACCTTGAAATTTGAGCGTTTTGATCAATTCGAGCTCAACTCCAACCAAGGCGGCTTCTTCAAGGGACAGCTTGCCATGAGGAAACAAGTGTGAGCGAAACCACTGGCTGCCAAGCCATGCTGAGGAAGCGGCGAGCTGATTCCGAGTTAGGCGGGTGTTTGACCATCACCCGGTATTGAGTGATCAAATTCTTGTTCCTGTAGTTCTATGACTTAAGACATTCTAAGAGTACACAAGCCCAGCAACTTGGTTGGACAGAGGTTTGTGTGGCACAAAAGTTGCTGGGTGATGACTGGTTGGAGGTCACTCGAACAAATTGTTATATAGATCATATAGCTATATAATGTTTTATAATATGTTATAATACAATGATGATATTGAAATATTTTCAGGATGCAACACTACCCAGCACCACCCCCAACTCCAAAGTAGTCCAACATTGACCAAGTACGGGTGCGACATACAGATGCCAACGCCCTGGTTCAAAATCTTCCGTTTATGTTGAGACGTGATTTCGAGATATTTCGAGCACTCTGAGGCATGGCTTTGCGCGTCGTTCCAGCCGGCTTTTCCATTGGGCAGCACCCTCAGCTGTGGCGTCGACAGCAGTGTCCAACGGCGTCAAACACCTTTGTTGCGATCCCATCATGTTGGATTGACAGTTGGGAAGCTCTCGCGATGAAAAAAGGAAGACGCCGGGGGCATGGGCACTCCACGCGGTGCATCCAGTGCATTTGAAGGTCATGTGAAGGTTGCAGCATGTTGCAGCGAGAAGTGGTTCAGGCGAAAGAATTCAGACCATACTGGAGCACATCATGCAGCGAGAATCCCACACCTGAACATACCTGAACCTCCGAAGGTCCCAGTTCCCAAACCTTTCGTTCGTCTCATCCAATCGCTCCTCATGTCCAAGGCCCTGGGAACTTTTTGTCTTCTGCTCGTGGAGGCCGCGTGGTGGGGGTGCCGGTTCGGAGGGCCGTGGCTCTCGGCTGCGGTGTGGCTGCCGATTCGGCTGCCCGCGTCTCCCAGGTGAAGTGAAACCGCTTTTTTGAACGAACGAGGGCGAAAGCCTAGGGAGAAGATGCAAGCCTGCATTGCTCCAGGTTCATTTTTGTTTGATCTCAGCATGACTCAACACTCAATTCATGGAAGTCATTAGTGGAAAATACGTGGTGTGCATCACAGAAAGATACTGTTTGTATGTATATGGGCGCATGTGCCCGGCTAGTTTTGTAGCTGGGATTTCCAATGTTCAATTCAAGAGCCAGCACCAGGCCACTGGCTGAGCAAATACGCTGGCCGCTGCGCAGGTGGACAACATGATTACAACCCACCAATTATCAGCATTGCTCCGGGCTTTTCAGGGCTCAATTATCTCCTGGTGTTATGAATCTATGTTCAGCATATATTTTCACATGTCCAGCATCAATAAATCTCCTGTGGCGTTCCCAGCCAGGCCCAATGGTCCGAGACTTTTATGAGGCCACGGATCTGAGTCGAGCGGCGTTCCGCTCGGATTTTGGTCGACCGGAGTCGATCTGAGTCGACAGAAGTCGACAGCCACGACTTGGTTCAGAGTAGACGGCACAACCCCAAAAGGTCTTTCAGATAGAGGCCCATGTTTTCACCAGCGACATTGGGGATTGTGCCATCTACTCTGAACCCATTTGAACCCACTGTAAATGACTTTTGAGGTACACGGTGGACTTCCAGGCTCGTATTTTCACATGCACACCTGATGTTTCGACGCGGACAGGGCAACCTATGGAGGTGAATGTACAAACATTCGCCAATGGGCCCCAAACAAATCCATTGAAGATCACTTTGACCTGCAATTCGCGAAGCGTCCAGCCCGGCGTCGCGGCCCCGTTCGCACTCCGGTCACCGGGTGAGGTTCGCCTCCCAAGCCACAGCGTGGCTTGGCGATGAGAGAGTCCTTGATCCGGTCGACGGCTTTCGAACGCGGAACGAATTCCGTGCCCTAAGGGCCCAAGGGCGAGGTCACGAGAACATCTGCCTAAGCCATTTGAGTTTGTGGAAGAAAAGCACGTTCAGATTTGATGTCAATCGGGGCCGCACGTGGAGTGGTTCTGCCCACGTCGCTTCGCGGTGGCCAAGGCCCAGCGTGGAAGAAGCCGCGCAGCCCAAGGTAGGGACACCTGGCACAGCGGGGAAGGAGACCATGTGTGGCTGGATCGACATGGAAAAAGTGTCGAACAAGTTAATGAGGCTTTTTACTTATATTTCAATCTTCCTTTATGAATCAAGAGTCGATCTACATTTGAGAAACAAGTTGCCAAACTAGTAGGGCAGGGTCGTGAATCACCGTGTTGATTGCCTGGATCACTGGAGGCTGGGTCAAACGGGCCACGTCGCTTCGCTGGGGACCACGTTGGGGCCTTTGATTGACACATGTTTACACGGCCCTTCCACATTGGTTATGGATCAGTTGTTGCAGACGAACGGCCGGGGACACAGGGTAAAGCCTAGGCAATCACCGGGTGTGCTTCTGTGCTCCATCAAACTCCCTCGTACTGTACTATGTTGTTGTACAGGGAGGCAGGGAGTCCTTTTGAGAATTTATGTTGAGATCATGAATTACAATGATATACCATGCCTAGCATCTCTTCAGGAGGTGGACCGATCTGTGAACTAAACTTGGACCAGGATCCTTTTGGATCATCCAAGGATCCTTTTGGATCAGCTGCTGGAGTCATCAGCTGCCTGTGTCATCTGTGTCTCGTTCTTTTTTTTTTTTTTGGCTCAGGTGGATTACATCATCGGCAACATTTGGCAAAACCGCACCTGGCCCGTTGCCCCAGCGAGTGACGGAGCCAGGCCATGGGACGGTCCGGGTCCACTGGGAATGAAGCCACTGGGGCCTAGCTCACGCACCGGTGAGGTGTTGGGAAGTAAGGAGTCGAAGTTGCAGGCTCCATCTCCCCACCTGAAGGACTGGTGTGGTTTCTTCAATAGACAAGGCATCCTGTGATAGGGGCACTTATATAATCCTGCGAGAAAGGATAGAATCAGAGAGAGACCCATCGTGTTTGCTAAAAGGGTTCCGTTTCCGTAGTTTGTGTTTTGATGTGTTTTGGGTTGAGGAGCTCCCTCCTGACTTAGAACTTGTGTATAGAAACACTGAGGTTTGTCATCCTGGCTTTCAATTTACATTTTTCAGTAGACCCACTACTCCGCCACAGTCAATGGTGTCGTTTGGGAGTCAACAGACGTCATTGTGTGGACGGTTTGTTGAGGGAAGACATGGTCACCTCCATCGGTCCCACACGGGGCAAAGTAGCTTGGCACCTAGAGATGGTGTGACTGTGACCCAAGAACATCCAAGAACGAGATACCTTCCCCCTCAAGGATGTTTTGATCAACCGCAGATGTGCCCTCCATGATCCATGGATATCCAGGACTATGGATCGGAAAAAAACAGCTGTAACATGCTGTAACTATACTCCCAGACACTCCATGGGACTGCGATATATGATCATATATGCCTATATACATTGACCACCCTGGCACCACCCTAATTGTATGTATACAATGAATATGCCAGTCCCATTAGTCGCATCTGGGTACTGTAACCATCGTTTTGATCACATCCTTTTCTCCTTCGAACCTGGCGCGTTCGTTCGAACTGCACCGAGGAAGCGCGCCCTGGAGGTCGATCCGAGCTTAGCAGCTGGGCCGGCGGCCAAAGGCGTGGAGCGGCTGGTTGAAGGAGTTGGTGCCTTGTTTGGGGTGGCAGAACTCCCAGGAGCTGGTTGGTCCCGAAGAACATGTAAGAAGGCTAGGGCGGCTGGACCGAATCCAGGCTGTGGTGGAGGGCGCGGCCAGAGCCTGGAGCTCCTAGGTCCTAGGTGTGGGCGATGATGACATGGCTGTTGATTTGACTTAACGTGTAGCCCGCAGCTAGACAATCACACCACAAGGCAGCGTTCGATGAAAAGAACACGAGAAACGTTGTCCATGCGACACGAACCACTAGTCTTAGTCAAGGCCATAGAAAAGTGGATCTGCACACATACCCCTGTAAATGGCACCCGTTTTCAGTTTTTGTCTTAGCAACTCACCCTTAACTCACCCTTCTTTTGTGAAGGCTGTTTGGCGTTTTAAGGTTCCATCACTTGGGGAAAATGGCACGTGTTCCACACCCATGTGAGTCACCCAACACATGAGGGTCTTCCTTGCTTATTGGTGCGTGTGCTCAAGGGGCAAAGTGAGACGGGCTGTGAATACTGATCGAGAAACAAAGATAACCAAGCGTTTTTTGTGGCGTTCCAAGCAGACACGGAGGTCAAAGAGTTGGTTCCAGCTTCCGCTGCCCGTCCCCCTCTCCTTCACTGTGGGCCAAAGGTCCCTGTCTCCGTAGGATGGAGAACAGTTTGGACGGGAGATAGACTCTTCAAGGGAGTTTAGTGCAATTTGTTATTCCGTGCCAGAGGGCCATGTCCGAGAAGAGCTTGTTTTTCCCGGAAAGGTCAACCTACTCGAAGGTTGAACGACGTTCCACCTGAGGGTGGGAAGAACCTACACCATACTCAAGGACAACCAACCGCGAACAGGCCACTGAAGTCTTGCTCGCGGACATGTCGAAACATGTCGAAACCATTTCACCTGCCGGTCTCACTGGCCTGACAGTTTCGGGTAATCATGGGTACTCCCAGGTTGTTCCCCTGACCCGTCACAACTTTTGGTGCCAGATGGTAGATAAACACCCAAGAACAGGTCCCAACAATCATCGCTGGAAGCTATGGCGACGGCACGTTGCCGGGCGTTTCGCCTCGCCCGGAGCGGTCTGAATCGTGCTGGTCGATCTGTGTCCTACACGCCAAACATGGTGCCCGGGCTGTTTACAACGTGCGGCGTAGGCACTTGGGGAAGTCTAAGGCTTTGGATTGTACAGGATGGATTCCATGTCTAGACTTCCAGAACCATCTAGGAAAGACTCCAAAGAGTCTTTGACGAGCTATGATGTGGAACAATAGCTTGGACTTCAACTTGTGATTGCGTAGCGACTTTGAGGTCTCTATGGATGCCCTGAGAGCACGGCAACTCGGTTTTCTGGACGCTCGCAGGGCGTGGCTGAAGATGGATCCAGGGGCGAAAGTCGTTCTGATCCAAGCAGCAGGATGCAACCAGAAGCTCCAGCTTGTGTTTGACGAGTGCTGTATGTAGTCATATTCGCTGGTGGTTCTGCGATGTATGCACAATGTGGTTTCCCAATGTTGAAGGAACGTCCAAATATACAATCAATAAAATTGGTTAATGTGTTCGGCACCATGTGTCTAAACTGGCCAGACGGTTTTTTTTTATTTATTTTGTTCAGTGACAATGTTCAAGATGTCAGCACTGGGTGAACAGGAGGGTGACAGTAAAGTAATGTGCCCCCATGTGCCCCCAGCTCAGTTGCTGGCAAAGAGGCGGTGGATCTCAGGAGAAATGCTACCTCCCACCAGCCTGGCCCATGATAGAATTGTCGAAGTTGATAGGTGCCCAGGTTCTCTCAAAAAGGATTCTGACACGATGTTTACAGGGCTTCACTGCAACAGCACGTGGCAATAGGCTCCGCCGGGGCGTCTTGCAGGCAACCGAAAGAGCTTCTACAGACGGATGTCTTCAGGACGGTGGGGGGCAAGGGCAGTCCGAGAATGCTCCCGCCAGGGGAAACACCCGAGCTGAAGGAATTTCTACTGATGACGAGTGGGTGCGCTCTCCAACCTCAGGCCCCCCGCGTTACTTACTTAATCAAGGGTCAATGCATCAGTTGGCCAGACTCCGATGTTTTCTGTGCGACTCAAGAAGAAGAAACGGCCAGACTGTGCCGCTGGAAGGCCTGGAAGAATCCCATTGTCTTTTCTTTTGACATTTCCATGATCCTCTCAGCCTCACGTTTGGATCTCCTCAACAGTCACCCCCAAATATTGAACAAGCAGCGTGGTCAAGCACGTGCAAAGATGCATAGCTTTCAGGTCAGGGAGCATTGCTTGGATCTTGTGTGGATTTCAGTGGTTTCTTGACCATCACCTGTTCTTCCTGGCTGCCCCCAGGACCGTACCACCTGAAGACATGACGCCCTCGGATTTGGCGGACTTGGCTTCCGCCGAGGTGGCCACCAACCCGGCCAAGGCGGTTCTTCTGCCGTGTCAGGGACTGATGAGCAATGGGTGAGGGATCCAAACCAAGCAACTGCAGCCATACTGCAGCGTTTGATGCATTTGGTGTAGTTTTGTTTGGATAGCATTTCGTGTGACCTGTTGTTGGGGGTAAGATGGTGTATGCATATATCACATGCATATATAATATGTGAGGTGTATGTTGTGACGAGTTGCGGGTGGGGTTTCATGGGAGGTTGCACTGCAACCCTGTTCCACTGGTTCGTTTAGCAAATTTATATGTTCTCAATTTCAGTTGAACCTATAAGGTGCACATGTTGCAGGACTGACCGGGGGGCATGCTGCTATGCGAAAGTAAATCTCAAACCTAGCCTAGCAGCTCAGATAGATGTAGTGACACGCGCGGGGTATGCTTAATGCTTGAAATCATCGCTGACTCTTTAAGACTAGCGCTGGAACAGAACGGAGACAGCTGGCCGCAGCAGGCCTCATTCATGTTCATGACCACCAAGCTGGCATATGATAAATAAATATAAGATTAAATAAGCATAGTTTATATACCATCTAATGTGTACGTAGATTGTAGATGATTTTTGCATATTTGTGCAAGCACTTCAGCAAGCCAGGTGCTCGAGATCTACCGGCGCCATGTGCAGAGTGGGGGCATGGACGCGACGGCAGGGTCACCCGAGAGTGCTTGACTTTGAGTGATGCGGAGTAGCTCAGTTATCCATATCTTAAACGAGGCAAAAAGGAGTGGGTGCACCTATCACAATCATACCCAAAAATACAGAAATAGTGAAAAGAAGAGCTGGTCAGAGAAGGAGATCCGCGACTCATACACCATCTACATTTGGCGACCTGGCGCTCGGAACTTCGGGTTGTGGCGTCTTAACTGACGTGGCAAATGATCCCGTGCAGTGCCGCTGTGCCGATTCTATGATTGACCCTTGTCCATACCCTGGGCGCGCCAAGCATACTCTAGTTTGGTTTTAACATGTCAGACCTCGTCGCCCAAGAACAACCGAAACACGTGAGAGAACCCCAACATCAAACGCCTCACTGCTTCGGTGTTTCACAACCTGCTACCCCAAGTTCTTGAACGACAACGACCTGCAGGTCTTGATCCGAGCCTTCGCCCAGCTGGGGTTTCTCTTCGATCCCAACTCCTTCTTCTCCTCAGCCGACCGGCAAATCCTCACCCGGCACCGGGATTTCCGGTGCTTGGCCCACGACCTGTGGAAGGTGGGCCCACCGGGGGACGGACAGGGCGTGGAAGGATTCCACCCATTAAAAATCATTAAACGCACTAATTTGTATCATGATAATAGATAGATATTGTATATTAGTTGTAGAACTCCCAGGACTGACTGACAGATGCTCACAAAACCAGGGGTCGCGTGCCCAATGGATGAGTTTGAGAAAAGCATCCAAAGAGTCCACAAATATATTGAACCACGTTCACTTCTCCAAAACCACGCATGAGTGATTCATACCACATTGTTTTTTTTGGCAGATTCCATCTCCGATTCCCAGTTTGAATTCAACATGAACGGTAGATCGATGATCATTGTTCCCTTTGTGCCACCCAGATACCTGGGTCTCCCAGTGGGCCGACATTCTTGTAGACACCCAACAAAGACACAAGATCATTGGCCATGGAGTCCCTGAAGATCTGGATTGCCCCGGGTCGCGACTGTCGCAGGTTCGAGCTGATCTTCCAGATGCTGTGGTGCCCCTGCTGATGCGACTTGGCGTGTGACATCGTGTGACAGCGCCACCTTGGAGCGTAGGATCATTTTGGTTTGCCTTGGTGCCTTTAGTACAGTAAGGATTTAATAACTGGGGTCACACTTCGATATTGAGACACGCTGTATGCTAGAACAGCATCAAAGGATTTTCAGTTGCCTGAGATGCATAGCTCTCAACATAAGAGTTTCTCCTGAAAACTGAAGCTCTATATAAGTAGCAAGAGCAAGAACAAAGCAGACGAGCATCCCTGGCAGATCCAATCATCATTTCCACCTTTCAGACAAAAACCAACCTAAATACCTTTAAATAAATACCATCCCGTAGGGAATTCCGCATCGCCAGACGCGCTCCCATGACTGTCCACCCAGAACCTGTCCACCCAAGGTATTCCATGGCCTCCTTGGACTACCGCTGTGCTCCGCTCATGCCGCAGCTCCTGCCGGCAGTGCTGCGGCATGTCAAGTGCCTCCGCCCCAACGTCCGGGCGAAGGTGAGACTGTAAAGGTTAAGCAAGGAAGGGATGTGTGTGTGTGGGTGGGTGTTTTTTGGTTAGGCCAACGGTAGGCCAACGGTGAAACCCTACCGGTACATGAGCATATAAATATATGCATGAGATGGTTAACGAGGCTTCTGCCCAGAATTGGTCATGCTTGGTGTGAGTTTCCAGCTCCCAGCTTCACAGGACATGCATTGATCGGGGTTCTCTTTCTCTGACCTCGACATAAAGCAACCCACGTGAATCCCCCAGGGATTCTCCCATTGTTTCGGATTTTTCCAGATTCGACTCTTGAGACTTGATATATAGATGACAATACAATACTAGATTGGTACTGATTGGTAGCAATTTCTCAGTCATGTGTTTTGAGAAAAGCCGGGTTTGTTTGTTACCAACGTTTGCGTGCGATGCATATCTCATGTCTATAGGTGTTGATCCGTGAAAGGTCCCATTGGACGAATCATTTGCTTGAGTGGACGCCTCCATCCTGCGAACTTCTTGTTTGCACTGACACCTCTAAGGGCTTGGCGCGTTGAGGCACTGAGTGACTCAGACTTTAACTGGCAAGTTGCATAATCATAGGCGTTGTTTCTGTTGTTCGTGCGGGGGGTGCAGCGGGTTCAATGGGTTGTGTTTAGACCCTTTGAACTTGTACCTGCTGATGCCTTTTTGGAACATTTGCTGATCACGTTTTTTGGGGGATAGCATGGGGTTGAAGGGGGGCCAACCCGGAAAATCTCGACGAAAAGCATCTCAGCCAACAGCAATGAGGTTTGCTTCTTCACTCCTTGTCCTCCCTGGGGCTTGGCGGAGATGATCCCATCATGTTTGACGACGATTCCGGGGAACGCAGCCCTGACTATAGCGGCATATGCCAGAAACTCGCTCAGGAGATGGGAACGTTATGGGTTGACAGATGTTGGGATACCATCCGTCACGGTCCGAGACGCATTGGGAGTTCCATCCGTGAAGATTCCGAACTTGAGAACCATAGGCTAGGGACAATCCGTGAAATTTGTGCCTTGCATGCAGGGATAGGGTTTAGATGGGTTTAGGATGGTTTAGGGCTTTAGGGCTTTAGGGTTTGTGTTGAAAAACAACCGTCCGTAGAGTTGCAGGAGGTTGCAGGAGGCGTCTCCACGTTCGTGGCGTAGAGGGTGTGATGGATCAGTGGACGCATCAATGCAGTGAGCGAGTTAGCTGAAGTGCTCGAGAGAGCAGGGCTGCGACGGGCTGTGGGACGAGATTCACATTCCCAGAGGCTCCATGTATGGTATATATTGGGGTGGTTTGAGGGGTCAATGTAGGCATATAGATGGTATACATGGAGCGTCTGGGATTTGCACTCCCTTCCGCTGCACCCTGCCGGCTCACAGCACAAGCTGGCAGGAGTTAGCCAATCGAGATGCTGATGATGAGACGACCGTTCATGACTGGGCTCGCGCTGCGTTTGCCTTGGTTATGTCGAATCACTGCGATGCTGAAGGGTACCTTCGATGGGTGTTTGGGGCTCGGAACTATTCTCACCAAGTGTTCGCAGCCGGCAGACGAACCCCCGGTTGGGAGCGGGACGTTGAGGATCCGTCCGTGATTGGTTGATGTTGGCCGTCCAAACAAGGGGACGAAGGCCAAAACGGGTTGGTTTGTAGACATTCGGTGGGCAGCAAAGTCCATGTTCAATGCACCCATGAATTTAATGTAATTTAATGGAGCCGTTTCATGCCTTCCACGAGACGATCGTAGAGCATGGTGGAGCTGCAACGTTTTCACACCGGTCTTCAAGGCATTTTTGGATGGGACACCCCCACTGCGTGAGGTTCATTGGATGCTCCGTTGGGTGCTCATGATGCTCATTCTTGTTGCATGAAGGTGGGAAGATCCTGTTCAAAACCCTGGACATACAGGAAATGAACTAAATTAACCGTTTACTGGTCTGCTGGTGGATATGCCGCAAACATCCATTGCACCATGAGGCCCAGCGGGGTCCCGGTTCTGCCTCTCTTTGTGAGCCGGGCCTGTCAACTCCTGGCGCACCTTGCATCGGAGCAGCTGATTGGGGGAGGGAGAGCTGACTTTGAAGCTCCAGGACGTGTGCTGATGTTTCATTGCAGCAGCCAGAGAAGTTGGGATGAATCGCCAGCCTCTAAGGGCCTAAGCCTCTACTCCCCCCAAGTGCTTTTGATGTTTTTTTTTAGAATTTGAGATGATTCTTCATGAATCGGCAGAGTATTCAACATTCCGTAGCTCAAGTCCCAAGCGTTATCCTTTCAGTTGGCGGGGGTTGCCAAGACCAAAACGGTGGCCCACAGCCTGTGGAATTTGAATGAATTTGAGCCAAAGACGTCGTCGTGGACAAAGAATCATGCAACACTTGCAGGTTCCATGATGTGAATAGCTCAGAATAGTTTGGGTTTTCGGTCCCTGAGCCATATTTCACCGACCGGTGAGAGGTGAAGTGGGTGATGGGAGCTTCGGAATGGGAGCTTGTTATGTGTAGCTTGGGTGAGCAGCTTGAGGTGGCTGTTCAAAGTTGGCCCATAATGGCATTGGGGATGTCTCCAAGAGTTCTGGACACACTGTGTATTCAAATGTGTCCAGTGGCCGTTCTGAGATACAGCCCTTAGATTTGAGGAAAGAGTCTCAAGGCCATTTCGGCCAACAAACATTTCCCAAGAATTGTGTACTCGATAATGTTAATTCTGCATTCATAGTTGGCATTGGCGCCAGTTCATGCAGGCCACAGAGTGTTTCAAAGACTTAAGCATCGTAGGTTGCTTGTTGGTGTTCCATAGTGACTATTCAAGAGAACTCTTATCGTGCTACACATTGGTCGTATGGTGCTCATGAGGAGGTCGTTTGGCGGTTTCTTTCTCCCAGGGGGCTTGCTTTGGAACTCTGCCCGGCAGACTGGCTGCAACGTCTGAGGACGAAGACGGAGTTGGAAAACTCCGGTTGGGCCCAATTCTTTCTCTACCAGACCCTCTACTGCGTGGATGTCGAGAAACCCGCCTGTGAGGAAGCGGCCGCTCGGGTTCACAACAAAGAAAACCCGACGGGTTTCATCTTTAGAACTGGCAGAATATCCTGCAAATCGGTTTCAGCTGGAGCTCCAGAAGCTTGAGGCTCAAGTACCTGCTATGGCGATCTATGGCGGGACATTTGCATTTCGATTTTTAATGACTGCTAGCCAGAGCTCAATGAACGCCAGCTCCATTCATGGAGGGCCCGTGATTCTTTGATTGTTTTTGATTTTTGCATCTCCCCCCATACCACGAGCCATGGACACCAGTGAGGACAGCCATGTTGCTTTGCCTCACACCCTTGTGTGCGTGCCCTGGAAATCCACACCGTTTCGTCGTACGGATGCCGGTCGAGGTGAAGCGTGCAATGCCCATGTGGATCCAGGAGCCTCGGTCTCGTGCCGGAGACCCGGCGGCGTGAGACCCGCGTGAGACCTGAAGTCCCACATCGATGGTTTCCGTGTTTTCAGCATTGTTTCGTGTGTGTGCATGGCCCCCTGAGATGTGAAGGTCTTTCGCTGAGGTCATAAGAATGCTCCGAGAGTTTCAATGTGTGTCAGGTTTCATGAATGGTGTGTTCTAATCAGTGTCGGACAACTGCAACCAAGCCAAGCTGCAATACACTTTGGGCATTCTAAAGAATTGCCGGGGTATTTCCCATACCTGACAGATACAGATACTGTCAGTCGTATGGTACAGACTGTCAGGTACAGTCTAGACTCTCGACCACCTCTGCGCAGGAGGTGCTCCACCACCGGTGGCTGGATGACATCGTGCTCTTAGCTCAGCCCCAGGCGGCCGCATCGGTTTCTCGTGTGCACCAAGTGTCATCAACGGGGGGTGAGGGGTGCGCAGAAGCTGCACAGCGAGAAGACTTGAGAACTCAATGACAAGAAGACGATCGGGAAGAAGCGTCGATGAAAAACCGGTAGCAGTTAGAAGCGGCCGCCTGGGCCGCCGCCGCCTGGTCGGACCGTCGACCGTGCCAGGGCGCCGACGAGATGCAGCGCGATGTGGATCGCTGCCTGCAACGCACCAACACCCAGGCCAGGCATCGTGGCCAGGGATGGACGGGAATCTGGACAACTCTTTCAGACAGGTCAATGGAATGACAATTTAATAGAGCAGTTCTTCGGGGTTTTGTGTCATCTACTTTGGGACCCTTACATGGCACTGTAGGGGATTGTACGGGATGGTAAGTTATAGATTTGTGTTTCCCTGCTTCATCAGCGTTTTTTGAACTATATTGCTACTATTGCTATGCGTGCAGTACTTGGGTCAAGACGATTGCGGGATTGCAAACAGATAAGTTGACAAAAGAGTGGAGAAAACCTACTGTATTTGTCAGTATTCTTTGTCCTGGATTTTCTATTAGGGAATGCTCACAAACAAGCAAAGTTAAATGGATCTACCGGAAGACTATACCAAACGGGTGAACACTTCTTGGAATTGCGAAATCGCTGGCTTTGTTCAAGGCCCTCTTGAACTGCTCATTTGGTCGAGACTGGGACGAGCAGCACTGCTGGTTTGCTGGCTTCTTGATGCAGCCCAAGGCCCACCGAGCTGGCTCTCCACCGCTTTGCAAAACAGAAACAGATTGCACAATGGAACAGAACTCCAGGATGAGGAGAGGTCAGATCAGTAAATCATTTCTGGTCATTTGATGTCATTTGGAGAAAAACTTTTTTCAACCATATTCAACTATTTTCGTTCGGAATGTCCTTGGTATATCTTGGTGTATTTCATGAATGTCCAACCTGATCAGATTCCATAGTGTTCTCCCATCTTCCCACTCTGGTGGAGACGGGTGCCATGGGGGTTGCCGTGTCATGATTTGCTGTCGTCCTCTAGGTGGCCCTCGAGTGCGACAGCATGCTGCCCTTGGGACGAGGTCGTCCACGGCCAAGTGGATGGATCGCATTGAAGTCCCGCATTGCGCGCAAGGTGCCCGGAGCATGGGCTGACCAGGGATGGTTAGGGAGAGGGATTGGGATCAGAATGAACAGAGAATCGTACAACGAACAGGTAGCAAAAGCAAGCTGCCCATTCTGGCAAATGTGTTATATTGTGCTGTTAATAATGCTAGTTCAAGGTCGCATCACCTGTCATCACCCCATTTCTCTATCCCAGAGGGAAACCACATTGGGATACATTGGGCCTGTTGGATCAAGTTGGCCGTATTCATTATCTACAAAACCATGTCAGTTGGGTAGGTCAGTAGGCTAGTAGGTCACTCTCCCCATGTGATGCTTTGGGTCGATTTGAGAGGCATGGGAGGCGAGCTTGCATGTGACTGGGCAGCGGAGCACCCCCTGGCGTAGGGCAAGCAGATTGATCTACCCGAGAAGGTCAGGGGAGTCTCAACCCTTGTATTGACCGACCCGGACCGGTCATGTGGTCATTTGGGATCTCGGAATGCCAGGGAATGCCAACATCTGGACGAACGTGACTAGAACTTCAAATGACATCGCTGGTGAACTGATGTGCCTGCAATTGGCTGGCAAATCCTGTCCACACCCAGTGAACTCGAGTTGGAGTGTCCGCCAGGTTGGGCTTCGAGTGGTGACGCTGCATGATTGCTTTTGGCGGCACCTCACTGAGGATCCGCATGTTGACATATATTGAAGTACCTTGAGTCTCCAATGACCCTTTTAAATTTGCCTTTCCAAGAAAAAGAGGTTTTTGAAAGAAAGCACTCTTTTTTGCATATGTCACGAAATGTTCCTTTTTTGTTTGTGCCCTGTCAGATCCTCCTTAGACAGTGTCCTGAGACCTTTTTTCGGCGTCCAAAACGCATCTTTTTGCGTCCAAAAGGCGTCTTTAAGCGTCCGTGCCGGACGCGTCCGGATGAAGATTCACTCTGCACCTTTTTTTGAGTCCTCATCTCTAAAAACGCGTTTTTCGAGCAAAAACGCAAAAATATTAGACCAAAAACAAAAACGCAGAAAAAAAAGGTCTTTGGAGACTCAAGGTATATACATTGGAGTGCCAACTGTGGTTTTACTAAGGAACCCTAAGGAGTTTCAACATCAGTTTTGGTGGCGCATCACCGCGTGTTTGATGGAGGTGGGGTCACTCCCTCACCGCGAAACGAACACACCAGCCTTCGGGCCTTCAGGACCAGAAAGACGAGCAGATGCTCCGCATTCGAAGCCAGATGGGCTATCAGCATGACAAGAGTCTGGAGAAGACGCGGAAGAAGATCCGGCAGACGCCGCGGCTTGGATTCAAAGGCAAACGGAAGGGTAGTGCACAGAAAGGGTTTTGCAAAAACCTATTCTACTAACGTCGTGGAAGGCGCGTGACCTTCGTAGAACCCAAGGCTGTTCGTGGACAGTTCGTGGAATGGTGGGCCAGTAGGAGAACTGACTGCAACGAATTTTCATAAACCTTCGCAGAACTTCGTGGAAGGTATTTTTGATGCACTAACTTCGTATAAGCGAGTTTTGCTGACCCCCTTTCTCCACACACCCTCCGTTTAGCCTTCATGGATGGATTTTGGGAGAAGAAGGGAGAGATCCTTGGAGACGGAAACCACTTTCGCCACTGTTCGCCGGGTTTCGAAGATGGACCTTGATGAAAGAGAACCACCTCGACCTCCGACCGGGAGGGTCCATGGGGGTTGTCTATTTGAAATCAGATTGTAAATCAGAGGTCTCGAAGCTGTGCGAACAAGAGCCACGATCGTCCTGAGGCACACCTACCAGGGCTTGGAGACGAAGCGGAAGGAGTGGTCCCCGCAACCTGGGCCTCCCTCGGATGAAACGGCCTTCACCTGAGAAAAAGGAGTTGCCTTGTCCGCGTCATCCGCATGTTGGGGAGAGTGATGAGTGCCTGGGTGCTTGGAGGCAGAGGTGAAGATTTTTTGTAGCGGCGGACAATACTTTTTCCTGGTGACACTGAACTATAGCTTTGTAACGCACCTGATGTCGATGCAATTCTGTGGATTTCAAATTCATGCATATCATGCCGAAGACTTGTTGGATCAGCCACTCGATGGACCACCTGCACTGGAGCAAGAATTGTGAAAAATCGTTGATGTCAACATGCGATCCTCAGTTTTGCCTCAGTTATTAGCATCATGTAGCGTCAAATCGGGGTTCTTGTCTTGATTTGCTTGATTGGGAAGGTGTGTCATGGTGTGTTCGATGCCAACTTGAGTTTGGTCTCAGTCTGGGGGTCCTGAATTTATAGAGTGCTGAGTGCTTCAGTAGTTCCAGTAGTTTGACGCGCTTAGCTTCTTCAATTGAAGTTTTCTTCTTCATTTGCATGACACGATTTTCTCAAAGGTACCGTACTTGTTTTCCCTGTCCAGGTGGGGGCGACATGAGTGTGAAGCACAAGTCAAGTCAGAGAAAACAAAAAAACAGTTGCGAGATGTTGTGAGAAGAAATCGCAGGCGATGACCAGCACGTGCCAAGAGCTTAGTATATTCAATTTTTGGGGTGTGTTTGCAGCTGCCGCGCATTGCAGTAAGCTCCATATAGTCACAGTGAGGCAGGTGGGTACAAAACGTGGCGTGTTTTTCTCACACAAGGCAGTTATATAGGTGATGCCTCCAAACTCCCGCAACGACTAGAGAGAGAGATATACTGGCAGTGGGAGAGAGGATTTTGCTTGCAGTATCGAGTTGGGATGAATGACGTACAACTTTGTAGCGTTTCTTCTGGAAAGCCTCATCCCTGCCAAGGAGAAAGCTGCTGGTTCCGACTCGTGTCGAGGATATCCAATTTCTACAGTGCCGCCCCCCATGCTGTGTGCGGGATGAATGATTTGAGGGAATCCCTTTGATTGCTGCCACCCGCTCACCAAGTAGTATATACAATATAGTACTTAGTACAATATAGTATAGTGTACAATGTAATACATCACCATATATTCTTTTGTAACCCTCCTGAGCCTGAATTGTATTGTATAGCTAGTGTACTAGTGAAGTTACAAGTGGGCCTCACAATTTAGCAGATGGCACTGTCTCAAAAGTCAGTTTTTTTCCAGGACACAGGCATTCTTAAAGGACTAAAGTTTGAGGTCCATTCCGGTGTTGTAGTTTCACCCCACTGTTTGTTTGCCATACGCTTTGTGATCGGGCGCATCCAAATATGACACAAGTTCCTCTTCCGAAAGGGTGGAAGTTGGATGATGAGGCAGCCAACAACCTCTTTTTTACTTCACTTTTCTCATGTGCCAAAGTAGTTATTATTGATTATTGGTTGACTTCGCAGTTTGCACAAGTTGCCTGACTCCTTGTAGCTCGTGGTTTTTGTGGCCCAAGCATTGTTCTCCTCCTGCCGGGGCCGTTCTGCCGCTACCGCGAACCGGGTGGCGTGAGACGAACAGAGGATCTCAGGCCAGAGGCGCTTCTGGGAGGGCAGACTGTGAGTTATTCCCCAGATGGCGAGAGCTATTGGGGTTCTTACTTCTATGCTGGCGTTGTTTTTCGGGTTTCAAGGCTGTTATTGATGCAGGGTTGATTTTGAGCAGATTTCGACTTCCATGGCCACCGTCCGGGCTGTCAAGATGAACCAACACCCTTTGTGGTATTTGATGGCAGTTGAACCAACACCTTAGCCCAACGTTACCTTCATCCCCCATGCAAACAAGACGAGGTGCATCAGGGCTTGGCACAAAGCCAGTGACAATCACCATTGCACGCCGGGGGTTCAAACCGATTTCAAGCGAGCTTTCCCCAGGTAACACAGCAGTGTAGCACCTGGAAGAAACCTGCTACCCGGCAGGATTGGTGGTAACCAGTTTGCCCATGCTGATCCAGATGTGCTTGGCCCAGGCTGAAGCCGCGCTGCCGCGCATGTGTGCCAACCCAGGACACGGGACAGCTGCGTCCATCCACCGTGCCAGCGTGTTGGAAGTTGAGCAACGCTTGGGGCTTGGGGTCGGGAACAAAAGCCGCATCAGCTGCCAGGTGGAAGCCCTGATTCAAGAGTGCCTGGACAATCAGATGATCAAGATAATCACCGCAGAATACATACAGCAAAGCACGCACTGTATTCTTTTTCCTTCAGCCTTTTGCCTAGCAAGTGTTTGAGCCCCTGGGCTGGCTTTCAAGAGAATATGAGAGAACAGCTCGTGGGTCAAGCTTCTCTAGAAACCCCTCAGCATCGGATCTGGCTCAGACCAGCGAATGTAGACAAGGTGAATATGTTTCACAAAGACCTGAAACATGTGGCAAAGAAAGAATATATCATTATTGCCGCACTCAGTTGTTCTTTACATTTGTCACTTCTTGCCAGAGCTCAGCCGAGTTGACAGACAGACAACCATGAGCTTTATGTTAGAGAGCCGCTGAAGAGATCTCAAGACGTCGAGCAACTAATCGGTTTGTTGACCCTTGGGTTCATGCTCGTCATGATGCTCATGCCTCGGTTCCCTTAAGGAACTGTAGAAGAGGGTCAGCGGCTTTTTGCAGCGGGCGCATCGCATGACATACGTTGCCGCCAATGGAGACGAAGGTGAGATAGGGAATGCGAAGGGGGAGGCCTTCATGTACAGGAATGACATTTCTTGGATGTGTGTTTTGTTGTTGTGGGCTAGCGTGGGATGGAGCTTAGGAACGCGAGGGAAAACCAGGTCAGTTTTGGTTCTAGCCACTCACCCATGCCAGTAACTCTTGACCTAACATAATGTGAGTACTAGCAAACCATCATCCAGGTATATAAGCTATACCCAACCTATCCCAATCCCGCTCATTCCAGGACCAAGAGACTTGTATTACTTCTCAAGCGCAGCTTTCACTTTGGTCCATCTATCCCGATGTGTTCTCGCTAAGTTCGATTCTTTGTTCAATCTCGGTCACCACTCGACTCACCAACGCTACAGCCGCCGCCTATCCGGTGATTCGGAGGTGCAAGACTTTGTGGACTGGATGAAGCGGAAGCATTCGGTCGATGTAGAGGTGCCAGCAGGGCCTGCGAAAAGAGCAACCATTCCATGGTGCCCGGGAGAAGAAAACATGTAGATAGATGGTGTGCAGATGCCGATGTTTGACAGGGTATGTTCTCAATCATCTCCCCTAAATTGTATAAAACTGATTTCAATAGGTGCGTCATCCGCTTCCACATCTTGTCGATGGGCAAGAAAAAGCGGATCACCCCCGGGATGATCTGGATGCTTTCACATGTGGATGCTCAATGGGGCAGCCCAAAAGCCTCCACCAGGCCTTGGGGGTCCAGCTACGGCCCGATGCGCATGGGGGGGTGGGTGTCTACGCGGCTTGGTCTGCAGCACGGGAGTCTACGGCGTTGGTGAGATAGAAAGGTTGCCCCAGTGGTCATAAGCAGATGTCTTGGAACCATATGTGACGAAACTGTGTCGCATATGGTACTTAATTCTAAACATGTTGGTTGAGTCTTCAGGGTGCGTGGACACAACGTGAACACTTTTTCGCATATATACTGAGACAATGGAAGAGTGGTGTGCCACGAAAAATCCTAATGTCTTAATGCACTCCATAAGGTACAGAAGCTCATTCGCGTGCAACTTGTCGTCTGGCTTTTGTAGCCGCTAGCGTTGCCTACGGTTTGTCATGGTGCATTTTATCGCCTGCCACACAGTCCAAGCACCTTTCTCTTGCACAGTTGACTTCCCAGACCAAACCAACGAACATAGTCAATCCAAATCCTGGCTTCCAATCTGCGCTGCAATTGGTTACCAGCTGTTTCATCATCCGGCGTTTCTGAAAGACACTTAAACCGGGCCTGCAGGAACTTGGTTGAACTGGTCACCGCACTTGTTGGAACTGCCAGGTCCAGGGTCACCCGGCCTACCCTTCCTTAGAATAACATGTCACACCGAGTCTTGGCTTCAGATTGCTTCAGGCCACTCGAAGAATTGAGCCAGGGGAGCTTTTGGTGAGGACAGGGGCTTGGGCAACAAGCAACAAGTAGAGACTCACGGTAGTGAGGCTGAAATTGCTATACCAATGTAGATAAGTCTCCCATATTCTCCCATCTATATATTACATATCAATACTGTTTGCTGACTTCCCTTGTAGATTATAGATACATGTACTTGAACTGTTTGTATCCTGTGGGCTTAAACTTTTTGCCAGCCACACATCACACGCCTGACAATGCTTTATGCAGTAAATGAGGTCATTCATTTGTCATTGGCCGTGGTCCGCGAAACTGCACTATTATCACAATGTTGTACTGACTTGGCAAGCGACTCCCTCTTTCACCATTCACAGTGGATTTGGTGATGTTTGGTGACGGTCAGCCTGGTGGTCCAAAACGACGGAACAGGCACATTTGGAAGTTTGGAAGTAATTATATCCTCAAAATCTGTTTGGCCCTTCTCTGGATGGTGGGCAGTGGCACTGGTTACCAGGTTGCAATTTGGCACCTCTTCTGGAATGTCCACAGCCATGAGCCAGATTTTGTCAGTAGGATTAGTGATATAGGAGACTAGTTTGTTGGAGGTCTTTTGATTTGCACTTGCCGTGTTGCTCATTGTTTGATGCTGGGAGCCATGGTTACCCGGGCCGCTGGTTTTGGAAGTCGTCCCTTTAAGGCTCCGGCAGAAACGCCGAGTCCGGAGAAATTGTGTGAGTTGATCCATTGGAGGCCTAGAGTCGTTTACGACTCTTCCACCTTCCCCACTCGTGTCCACAGGATTCCTATCTCGGCCGCACGGCTGCAGTGCAGGGCAGCCGAAGCACCACGTAATAATATGACTGTGGGTCATTGCACCAGGATCCCTACCTGGGAGGTCAAGCGACGCACTCCAGGCTTTGACCCATCCCCCCCATCGTTGTGTGCGGAAGACGTGCTCAGAGCAGGACAACCAACCCTGTACAGACATCAGACATCAGAGCAGTCAGTCCTTGGTGAAATTCCCTGGTTTAGGTTTAGGTGGTCATAGGAGGCGGAACGCTGGTGCGGGCGTGTGAAACGGCCGTGCACGTATTTCTGCAGGTTTGTAGGGCCTCAAGGGTAGGCTTGTTGTTCAGCATGTGAGTCACAAGGGGCTAAGCATGCTCATGAAACCCCGAAGTCTGAAGTGGATCATGCATCGCAACTCTAAGGAGCTGATCTTATATTGATCACCTATATATTTGATCACCTGACTTTATATGATTTTATATGTTTTGCTCAATGAGATCAGGTCTTCCATTTGGAAGCATTGGCCGCGCGCGGTTTCGACCCAACCGGGGAAAACCGGGCAGGCCCTTCTGACCACCAAAGCTGCTCGAGCGGCCTGGGTGACGGCCACACCGGAGATTCTGGAGGTAAAGGGCGAAGAGCTCCTCGACAGATCAAGCGGAACAGGATGGAACAAAGGAATGCCCCCAAGTACTGAGGGTTTGGAATGGTGGGTGCTTTGCTCTGGGTACTGGTCTGGCCTGGGAGGATACAAAGGAGCTTGGACCACACTCAGAGTGTCCAAGCTTAGACACGAGCATTTGCAGCTAACATTGTGTGAGAGGAATTCAACAGATTTCGAAGTAAGTCGGTCGCCATGTTATTGATGTCACGGTTGTGCCGAAATGGTGCAATCGTCCACTTGCGGCCACTTGAAGCTTCTTGTGCTCGTGGAGATCATCTAACATTCCAGGAACAGCAGTGCCCGGACAGTTTTTATATTGTGCGAGTTTCGAGGGAGTGTTGCTCTCTTTTGCTGCGTATATGACGTATATGTGCATGTATTCTTCGGATCAGACCACCAATATGCAGGTCACTCTCCTCCGCTGAGGTTCTTGTGGCTCTACATGATTTGGGGCCGCAAGGTGGGAGAAGCTGTCGCCGCTCGAGTCGGGATCCCATTGCGCAGTGTGGAGGTGTTCGACCTTTCTCACGCCGTTCGCGCGGCGTGGCTGAGAGCATGTCGTTGGGCTTCTTCGAGAGAGTGACACATGTGCTTTGGCCAAACTCCAGTCTCAGTTGCCTATAGTCTGCCTAGTCATCAAATGTTTGCCTAGTCATTCAGAACCGTATTTTCTGCGCGCACAGCGAGGAGCTTTCGTGTGACTGGTATCCCTACCTGCAGATCTTGCCGAGCGATCCCTTGAAGCTTGGCTTTGGACACGAAACGCGCTTCGGTAAAAGAGCAAACGACAACACAGACTTCTACTATCTTCTACTCATCCTTTTTGTCTATCCAGAGTTGGATTGCCTAGACTTGAGCAACCTGTTGTGACATCTTGTGACCTTGCAAGTCCTACCTACCTTACCCTGACACAAACTCCTCCACAACCAACCGGTCAGCACCCTCTTCGACCTCGTTCAGCACCTGGAGCGACGTCACCAGGCCTTGGCTGCGCAGCGCGGAGGCGCTCCGATGGCTGCGAGGGACATCACTGGAGACTGCAGCCGAGGCGTCACCGCGGTCATCGCTGTTGTGGTGGGTCCGGTTATGATGGAGCAACATGGAGCAACTAGAAATGGTACAATGGTTTCAGAGTAGATGGCACCATCCCCAAGAGGAGGTTTATTTTGGCCCTCATCATCTAAAAGACATTTGGGGTCTGTGAGCCTGTGCCATCCAATTACTCTGAAACCTCTGTACATTCTCGAGTGCCTGAACTTCTGAGCCGTTCTGAATGGTGACAAGTGCCGTTTTGCTCTTGGACTGCTAGGAGGCCACTGTTGCAGGATGTTGGGGATGTTTCTGTGTGGCCGCGTTGCACCAACATGAGCATGTTCCTTGCAGGTGATCGCACAGCAGGAAGCGAGGCATGCGGAGCTCCGTGCTTCGCTCGGGGAGGCACGTGGCAGCGATGTGGGTCTTCCGATCCCGAACACCGTGACGGCGGGCACCAGGTGGCGGGAAGCTTCGAAGATTGGCTGTGGGCAAGGCACTGCTACCTCTCCCGAAGCTTTGATCAAGCAGCCTTCCCCAGGCCCTGGTGGAGGGTGGAGGGAGGAGGGGGGCACAAGAAGTTTCCTGAGATAGGTCTGGAACACTCAAAGACACGCAAGGAGGCATAGCAACCCACCAAGTGGAAAGATGAGGTTATGAGATGTTATGAGTGTTCACAGTGTTCACCGGCTTCCTTCCAATAGTGATATAGGGTGAACCTTGAGGGTCTAGCATCGTGCTTGAGAACATGTAATCTGTAAGGGGCGATTTATCCAGATGTCGCGAAGTAGCCTCGCCTGGTGCCTTGCCCTTGGGCCTGAAGGACCCAAACCTGGGCTGACAAAGGCAGAACGAGCCCTGGCTGATGGTTTTAGAGAATGGTGGAATCCTCCTGTTCAATAATCAGTGTGACATAGTGTGACCAGTTTTTGGGGGTTGCACTTCCAATGAAGCCAGGACTGGTCTCCCAGACGCAAGGGTCCATGGCCAAAATTCGATCATGCAGTGACACTTTGGCAAGGTCAGAGGATTGGGAGTCTGCTGCCATGTGCCCTCTCTTGGACTCCATGAACCATCAGCCCGATGCTGAAGTTGAGGTGCACTGGACGGCTGAGCGGGATAGGCTGACAAGCTGGAATCCTTTTTGGGTGTGCTGGTCACAGGCTTTGTCGGGCCCCCTCCCTTGAACAAGATGTTGCAACCGCGCAAGAGCAGCACCGACAGAGAACAAGTCAAGAACAGGTCTTCACAACTGTTGAACCAATTGTGTTGACATGGTGAAGACATGTGAAGACTCCCAACGAGCGGGTTTATATTATATATATATAGTTTAACTAGTTCACTCAAGACGTCTCGATGTGAAATTGTTAACCTGGCTCCCGCAAACCGGCCCGAGCTGACACTGCTGTCCATATCATATCGGTACTGGCACAGTAGTGCTACAGCATCAGGCCCGCTATGGCGAAGAGACCGCAGGTGGGCTGAGTCTTCACGGGTACAAGCATTGTGGACAGAGAGTCATTTGGTGCTGCATGTGTCATAGCGCTAGCCGCTAGTCGTTAGCGAATCATCTAAATTTATATCGGGGTAATAGTCACAGTTCCAGCCATTTTTCCAAGCGAACTCCAAACATGCTACTGCTGTAATTACAAGACCATCAGGCTAAGAGGTCGCAGGCACAATGCTGGGATTCCGCACGCCGGAGCCAGAGCCTACCCATCGGTGCCGACTGGGCCATTCTGTCGCGGAGTCGAGGCCTTTGGTTGCCCGACACCGCATCCCCTTACGAAGAGGGCGAGGAGGTGCACGAGCTCGTCCGGTTGTTCAGCGGGGTTTGGTGCGAATGCCGCGCTTTTGAGCGGGGCCTGTGGTAGCTTGGATTGGTTTGACCTGTGCGAGACATGATGAACCAGTGCGAAAGGTCAACCCATAGGGAAGCCGAGGGCTAGTTTAGAGTTGAACTATGTTACAGTAAACCAATTAATTAGCTATGGCTATGGCTGCTAATTATAACTTGTTTTGGAATCCCAAATTTCAAAGCTGATGCCAGATTGTAGAGTTTCTTGGCTGAGAAAAGCAGCATAGTACAGTTTGATTGCTTTCATTGTTTTGGCAGCAACCGCAGAACACAGGCACGTGCTTGGTCATGCACCTGTTGCAGGTCTTCCACCTCTACAAAGGGCAAGCGGACAATGAAACTCTCTTGCTCAACTATGGCTTCGCACTACCGGAGAACCCCTATGACTCTTGGAACGCCGAAAGGCATCAGTGAGGAAAGGAAGAAATTGAAGTCAGATTCCTGGAGCCCAAGACTCGCTCCTTCCCTTTCAAACAGACTGACTCTTTGAAAGGCATCACTTCCCTGCCATGCTGAGCCATGAGGATGTCGTGGACCATGTCATTTTCCCCTTTGAGGGTGAAGCGGAGCGCTGGGAAGTGGCTTGGTCTGAGAACATTGGGGCTCCTGAGTCCTGAGCCAAAACGAAGACAACAAGGACATAAGATCGTGTAAGTATGCATATATATATATTTATGTATGGGGTCTGTCAGTAAACAATTATCATTCTTTTTGAGCAAGGCCTTTACTAACCATCATCATCCACTGTTACAGGTAATAGGATAGACCGAGTATATCTATATCCATAGTATATATGTAGAGGTAGAAAGAGATAGAGAGAGAGAGAAAGAGAGAGCGAGAGATAGAGATAGAGATAGACAGAGACAGACAGAGACAGAGACAGACAGAGACAGAGACAGAGACAGACAGATAGATAGACAACCTGCATTGTGACACAAAGAGATAAAATAACACACAGGCAGTGGCATAGTTTATGCCGCTGGCTGCGGCACCTGAGCATATCCAGTTGAGTGATGGAAACTCTGAATGCAGACATCCACGCCCTTCATACATTTTTTACAGTGTGGTGTGGGGGTTGCACCTAAATGTGCTCTCACTATCGCTCGGTATCATTCCAGGATTCCGTAGTTCTAGACTAACTAACTAACTATGGCCTTATAAACTCTGAGCGTCTTTGAAGAGCATTGCTGAATGCTATCATGATCGCTTGTCCTTCCTTCGCATCAGCCAATTCACCCTGTGATAGACGCCAACCGGCCACGGCGCCGCACGAGCGTTGGCCACGGCGCCGAACCGAGGCTTTGGAAGCCATGCCGAGCGTGTGGTGTCGCCGTGGAAGGTCCGTGCTTCTTCGACTCTCCGAGGTGTCCGAACCGGGGGGGGCGTGACCAGGCACGATCAAATCCCACGAAAAAAACAAATGAGTGGGCTACTTGAAGTACTACCTTCCAAATAATGCAGAATTATACTATATACATGCTAGCAGTGGTTCCGGACTCAATCCACAATTGATGAAGTATGTATGGAGTTTCGGGTTTCGAAGGAACTGTGGAAGTCTTTGTGGAAAACAATGGGCAAGAAATGCCACAAGTGTTGTGTTCGCTCAGGTGCAACTAACTGCGAAGGACAGCATTTTGCAAGGTTTTGACACACATTATTCTGTATGTTTTGTGTCAATTAGGCCGGTCTTTGGTGGTAAGTGCCAGACGAGACGAACCCCATGCAACCCTGCCGAGACTCAACTAATCACAATGAGCATTAAGTGGCCACGTGAAACTCCATTGTCCTTGACAACGCCATTTGAGGCCGGAGTTCTGAGGGGTAAAACATGTTGAATAGTTTCCTGCCCTGTTTTGCAGGCCTTGACATCCCAAACATTGGAAGTGCCAACTGAGCTGCTGCGTGCAGCTGCGCTGCTGCGAGGTTGGGATTACCAGGCACCGGTGGGAGTGGGACAACCCCCCTGCGTTCCAAGAGATAGGCACATGTTCGCAGTCGAAAGGCATGGCATGTTCGTTTCATAGCCCAAGGGTCGGCCTCATCCCATCGCATCCGATTTCCGGTTTGAGCTGTCGAAAACACGTAACGGAGAACCCAAGGATGTTCGAATCCGGCACAAGAAATCCTCTCTGGTCCGATTCTGACCTGAAACCCAACCAAGACTCCAGTGTTTTGTGGGGAAGTGTTGCTGAACTATGAACTCAGGCCAGCCCTGGGTCCCTCATATTTGCTCTCCGAGTTTAGGTTTTTGCATTCCAAAATTGGATTCCCATTCCCCCATGCCAATGAACCCACGACTGTTCAAAGAAGACTTCTACATCGACTTTCAGCATCTTCTATCTCAGATGCCTCGCTACCCGATGTCAGAAGGACCTCCAGAAACTGAGGCCACCCGGAATCCAGGTGGATCCCCCCCCCATGCTCAGACCACGGAGAAAACGCCAGCTCCTCAGGAAGAGCTGGCCAGTTGTCGACAGAAGGCCAAGGTGTGTCGATGGCTCTTGGAGGCCCTGCGACACATGCTGCAGTCCATGGCCTTCCAGGCGAGGGGGTCATGAACTCCCCCAGCTGCGAAGGGCGGAAGTCGTCTTGAACGTGCGGATCACATGCGGATCACACTGGAAACAAACCCATTTTGATTCTCCTTAGAGAGGGAGGATTGACAAAATGGGTTCTTGAATCGAAAGCCCGAATGCCAACTTGCACTTTTCTTGCGATGTGCAGTTTCTTGTTGTTTCCTGTTCGCCCCCTTGATATTGCGTTGAGCCTATTTGGTTCATCAAGTGCCTAGTTTGCTGGTGCAACCTCACGCCGCCTTTGCAGCAGGAGGAAGGCAAGCTTGATGTGGCAGGGGCACCCGAAAGTGCTTAGGAATCTGAGCCCCGCAGACCTTCTCTTTGACCTAAAAATTGCAACATGGAATAGGGATGTAGCCGTAGTCATGTGCAATGGACAAACTTGCTTAGTCATTACACTTATTGAATTGTCACAGGTCAGCTTACGCAGCTTACTTCTGCGTATTACTGTCTTAAAGAGTCATGAGTCATAAGTAGATTCATAGTATGTCATAGTCATGTCATAGTCACATCATAAGTCATTCAAACTTACTGAGCTTAGACTTAGTCTTAGACATATAGTATCATATAGTATATAGTCGTAGATGTCTATCTTCACACTCTTTCTTTCGTTGAAGGCGACAAACGACACCGCCGAGGCCCTGGTGAACCTCAGCGGCACACTGGGCCGCTTCGCCGCCCGGGAGGCCCTGCGCCGGGCACAGGCGCCGCCGATAATGGTGAGCCCGGGGGTGCAGTGGAGGCCTCTGAAGTTGTCTTCAGAATGAGTCGATCTGGAGATCTGGTTGAAACTTCACGATAGAGGATGCACAAAACCTGAGCTGTCATTTTCTGGAAGCAGTTTGTTGGGAAAAACACGTTGTTTTGTTTTGTGTGTGTTTTTATATTTATTCGCTTGGGCGCTAGTCGGTTGAAAACGATAGAAGCGACATCGAAGGCCGAGTTGAAGCACGCCACTTTTTGGGCTTTTGGAGGTTGCTAGATGCGGGCATATGTGGTTCGTCAGCAGGGCTCATGTCTGAATGCAACAAGCAGCAGAGGCAGTTTGGGGTCTCAAATCCCATCTAACCCCACCGTCTTTAGTGGGCCCTTTGCTAGACTCAGTTTCATGGTCGCGAAAGCCGATTCCAGGCACGAAAGCCGAAAGCGGCTTGCTGCATTTTACCCGGCCACTCCAGCATCTCCCGTGCCACTGCAACATGCCGAAGAAGTAAATACTGATTACACTCCCTGGAGCTAACTAACATGGAAGTGGACTTTGTTTGTAGAGGAAAATGATCTTCCTTTCGGGACCATGCCATCCACTTCCATGTTAGTTCCAGGGAGTGTAATTGGATGGGATGTTCGTGGACCTGATCAGCAGTTATTGTTTGCGCTGGGTCACTCACCGCGAAGCTTTTTAATGCTGTATGTAAATAATCCAGACTCACCACAACGAGAACATTAACATGGCCCGTTGGGCCGTAGGTGGGTTCATTAATTAATCACAGTGCGGTCAGTGCTCCGACATGGTCTCACATACAAAGTGTGGGAGTGACAGACTACCGCACCAGCTACTAGAATGCGTAGTTTGTGGCGATGATTCTTTTAGAGTGTGCCAGGATGCCATACTGTACGAGGTCATTTGATTTCACAACATGTCCCAACTTGTACCTTCGGTTTGGCACACCGACCGTAGTATTGTAATTGTATGTGTAATTATGTGTATATATATATATGTGTGTGTGTGTGTGTGTGTTTTTGACATGTACAGTATATAGTTATATAAGCAATATTATATATACATATGTTTGTTTTGTTATGGGATGGCATGAGTAAATGTACACTGAATCGAGGGACGCTATCGAGAGTCCTGAAGATCTTGAGAACCCTCACTCTTGATGTTTTTCCCACGTGGCCACGTGAGGGGCACCTGTGCACCAAGGCACAGTATGCCCTTGGTCAGTTCTTGATCCTGCACAAAGTGGCAGGCATCGTCACTCGCCACAAAGCCTCGGCTGGAGGATGGTGGCGGATTTGGTGCCACACCGGGTGGGGAGTTCGGTTCAGGTGGTGGCTTCGTGGGCCACACTGCCATCGGAGCCATCCCATGGCAGAAGATAAACCTTAGAACATCCTGGCTCGCCCTTTGGGAACTTATCTTGCAGCGCTTTATTCCTCCCAGGTGCAGCTGAACACAGGCAGCAAAGAATAATGGTTGAGGTTGAGTTGCGCAAGAATCGACCGGACGAAGCAGTTGCAGCCAGACGCTAGGGCTTTTTAACCTGGGCCATGCAACAGTTGCCAAGGCAACTACCTTGTAAGTTTGCAGTTGTAGGCGCTTTGATGCGCTTTGTTTGGGGCAAAGGGGGGCTGCTTTAAAATGCATGCTAGCCACGTGGTATTTGGTTGAACCTTGGGGGGGGCTTTGCAGCTGCTGCGTCCCCCCACTTTGTGGCAAGCATGCGGCCAAAAGGAAAGTGCTGTTTTCCTTGTTGAAAGGTTAAGGCAAAGGTTTGTTCCCTTAGGTTTAGGTCAGGTGACCCAAGTAATATAGAACATGGCGCTCGCCCATGTTTCATCACTCGGGTTTGATATGCTTTGATGACACAATGAGAAGAAAAAGGCCAACACGAACATCCTTGCCTTTCCAACCGAAGACATCAACGCCGACACGATGAAACAACCACCTCGGTGGAACGGTAAGGTCCAAGAGACCGCCACCATGGCGATGTTGGCCGCGCGCATGGAAAAGTGGCGGGTACAAGTTGCATCGCGGCCTTGTCTTGTTGTGTTTTCGCCTGTAAAGATGTTCAAGTGCATGGGTTCATGACGCCAACAGAGAAAGAGGCACGAGAGATGGAATCATGAGGCTGCACCCCAAAACATGCTGTGGCAAATGGAGGCTTGAAAAGGTTCTCAAAACCGCTGCTCACCGATCTGGCCAATCTATGGGCTGGGCTGACTATAATCAACACATAGTGGGCAGGGACATCCTTCAAGATCCTCAAGTGAAGCCTTTTGAGCCATACACGGAGGATAGAGATCATCAAGTCCCCGGAGCAGCAGTTGAGAGAGGTTGAACATGCTGAATAGGCCATTCCTCATAGCTTCATAGAATGAGGTCGTCCGTCTGCAGTGCTTCGGCTTTTCTTTGTGAACGGACCTCGGTTCATTGATAGGACCTGCCACTCAGCTCCAAACGCGGCCTGTGGTGATGCAAACGATCAACGAAAAAGGCGAGACTTGAACGCACTGGCAGCTCTGGGTAATGTATGATGGAACAAACACTAAGAACTACTGTACCTGTACCAAACACTTGCCGTATGCCCATCACATCGCATCAAAATGTTCCAGTGGACTAAGCCACTTGCCGCATGCCCATCAGAGTTTGGTGGAGTAAGCACAAGCACAAGCACAAGCAACACTTCGTGCATATTGTAGTGGTCCCGGGAGTCCCCAAAATCCTCAAATAGATAGAAACGGTATGAAGCGGTTTCCACATTTTTGAACAGTTTCGTGGGGATCTACTTTTCCATCTATTGGGGGATCTATGTCTATTGGTGTCCACGTTGAGCCTTTCGGAGTTGCCTTTCGAGGAGCGTTGATGCAGTGCCGAACACACCTCCTGCGGAGATCAAACTCGCTGAGAACGCGACCAAGCGGCCCACGACCGGTCGCGATGGCCCATTTTTGTTGAGACTGGGACCTGAACAGTGTATGACAAGTTGAAGCGATAAAACCATAGAGAGATTATATATATATGATCCACCAAGAATCGACTATCTTTGAGATCCAGCAAGTTGGTACACCTTTAAAAAAAAAACATTGAAAACCAATACAACCAAATTTATGAAATCATTTCAATAACACATGAACATATTGCTTTTTTTCCATACCATGTTTCATTAAAAAAAGCACAAAACATTTGTTTATCCAAATTTATGTAACATTTATGAACATTGTATGAAGAACTTTTGAACCGTGGTATGAACATGTGTTTAATTAATTCAGGATTGTTTGGAACTGTACGTAGCAACAGTCCTGAGTTCATTCAAAACAATTCATACAACTTTTCATAATTTGTTAATAAAGTTCTATATTGTTTCATCAATTTGGAGAAATCATTATGTGAAACTTTATGAGCTTTGTATGAACAAATATGAAAGTTTTATGAAACATGGTATGGACAAATTTATGGTTGGCTCACAGGGCCAATTTTTTTAACGCTTTTTTTTAAAGTTAAAGATTCATGGATTTGGTCGTATTGGTTTTACTTAAGAAAAGTACTTAAATCAAATCATTTAAAACGATGATTCAATGATTTGGCCGCATACCGACTTGTTACAAGAAGTTCTGTTTATTTTGAGATGGCACGCAGCGGAGTTCAGATGAGTTCAGATTCAACAATGATTCTGTTGAAGATGTCGGCCTGATGACTACCTTTCTTTCGGCTCCCAGAAAACAAGGACCTCATAGTCGTGACGGACCGTCGCTGAGGACGAAGAAGAATCGATGCTTTGGAAGAAAACCTACATCATCGACTGTGACGACTTTCGACGCTGTGGTCCTGCCGCGAGGCGACCTCCTGATGAGCGTCCGACCTCCTGATTTGCCTCATTTTTTGCAGATAATGTACACGACAAGGGTCACAGATGTCATAGGTGTAAGCAGGCCTTAAAGCAGTTTGACATGGTCGATCTTGACATGCCTCCGCCCCAAAGCCTTCCTGCCATGAGTCTGATTCATGCCCTGAGTGATGCACTGGAAGCCGATGGCATCTCTTTGTTCCAAAGGAAGTCGTGTGACCAACCTCCACGAACACTGCAAGACTGACTCGGACGCCAACGACTCGGACGCCCCGGCTTTCTTTGGCTCGCAGGCGGCTCCATGAAAGGTTTGGACATGTCATGGTTTCAACACGATGAGGAAACATACAAAAACATCAAAAACCATGTGAAAGACGCACATCGGCGCCACTCAGATCGACGCTGAATTGTTTTCGCTTTTGAATCGTCGGTGTCCTTGCCGCCGGGCCTTTGCCCCGCTGGTGCCTCGGAGTAGATGAGAGGGCTTTGGAGATCCTGGGAGGAGATGTGCTGAAGGAGAGCGCAAGGTTAAGCAATTGGGGCGCTTGCTCACCTCGTTCATCCTGAGTTGTTTTCCTGCTATAAGTAATCTTCCAGCTTCAGCCTTTGCAGGGTTTGGGCAGGTCAAAGCAATTCTTGACAGAGACACCCTGAAGTTTGTGTTTCTTTTGCAGGCAGGCACCTCGATTATGTGAGGCAACATCCTTCAGTGTCTCCCGTTCAACTGGGGGTGTAGGCCCTTTGCCAAACGGCACGCCGCGCCCGATCCTCGAGCGCTTCAAACGGTTATGTGGGATGCTTGATGCGCTTGAGGGTGCCCAGCGGATGGACCATTGAATAGAATCCTCAAGCATCCCAAACACGCCTCTTTCGATCAAACAATTCATCGCCTCGCCAAAGGCGAAGATTGGAGTTGCAGAATGGCAGCTTACAAGGACACCCGACTGGGACTCCGATCGGCCTCGTAGACTGAACATGGGGAAGCATCGGTGGCTGATCCTCCCGCCCAAGTGCTGAAGGAAGAGCTGCCCGGTTGAAGATCCTCAACGTTTGGACATGTTTGGACAGTGTCGTGGCTTTGGATCCCATGATTCTGCATGGATCACCGCTGGGTGGGCGCCTTTGCCAGTGCAAAGCTTGGCCAACGCTCGTCGATCACAGCACTCCCAGAGGTTGTACATAGGCCTCGAGACAGATCTGACATGATGTAGCACCACTGGATCAGACAGGCGTCGCTACTACTCGCAGGTTGGAGGCCATCGCTATTAGGTGGATGCCATCGCTATTAGGTGGATGCCATCGCTAGTAGGCCATCGCTCTGAGGTTGGAGGCCATGGCTACTAGGCGGGAGGACATTGCTACTAGGTTGGAGGCCATCGCCCTTAGGTTGAAGGCCATGGCTACCAGGGGGGGAGGACATTGCTACTAGGTTGGAGTCCGGAGGCCATGGCTACTAAGGGGGGAGGCCATCCACATGGATCCACATGGTTAGCCGCCCACAGTGGAGGATCTTCAGCACCAGTCCTCTGACAGCTCCCTAGAATGCAGTATTGAGCAGCTTGTCCGCACCACTTGCCTCTGAAACATCCATTGCTGTTGATATGTGCTTTATAATATGTGTGTGTAATTAATATGTACAATATTTTATAGTAATTTGTATATATGTATTCATACTATTGGTTTACCAGAACCATGTTCGTTCATATTGGTTGTATTTTAACCTGCTTGCCTTTTTCAGTTGTGTTTGCTGCATTCCGAATGCCCGACGAGGCCGTGTGGGCCGGGCACAACTCGTGCCTTGTCAGCGACAGGTCGTTTGGAACGCAGCGGACCTCGTCCAACTGGCTTCCAATCACCTCCAAACTATCCCCAAACTGTTTGTTGGGAGTTTCTGTGGGTTTGGTGGCGGTTCTTGGATTTTGCGTTGGACACGACGAGCCGTGGTCCAGCCCCAGTGGCTGACCATGTTTCCAAAACACACGTTGAACACCCTGCTTCTTACCAGCTGCTTTACTTGGGCCTTCTTTGAAGCTGGAGATATGTTGACCGACGCCGAAAGGCTAGGTCTCAGGTTTGCCCTCAGCCCTTGGTGTTTTTGGTGGCCCAGAAAGGTGACGTGGTGACCCATCCACCAAAAGATGTCTTATTCAAGAATGAATCCGCCAGTGTTTTTCCTTTTGTGTTTTGAAAGGGAGGCGAAGACGTTTCTCGGCCCTTGGGCGTTTCTTGGGCCGGTCTGAAGGAGTGGGGAGCCTTCGGATGATTTGAGGTCAAAAGCAGCTGCAACCTGGGGAGAAGAGGTCCTTCATGGAGACAGCTGGCTGTGCTTCAGTCTATCTCGAGGCACATTTCTGCGACCATTGATCATCTTCCAGACCTGTTTGAGAGTGGGCATGGGGGACTATGTTTGTTAGGGTGAATGCCATGTCCGGGTAGATCTCAGGAGGTACTATTGAGTACTCCTTGGTCCAGGGGACACATAGCTTCACTATGTTCAATCCATTGGACCGCATGATTCGTCATCCAAAACCACCAGTTTGCTTTATGAGGGGTCCTTCCATGTCCTTCATGAACCCTCAATACAACAAGCTTGGCTCCTGGGTGGGGCCCATCACCCTCCATCACCCGAGTCCGTGCTGCACGGACGACTCGAACGCTCACTTGTCGCACTTGTGTTGCACGCGAACGCTCACCGCACAGGGCACCGAATATGGCATGCCCATCATGTTCTTGGAGGCTCGGACCGTCAGACTTGTTTCAATTTCTTGGTTGGACACGGCTCGGGATGCGGACCCAAGGAGTCGGTGTTCCGCGGTTTTGATGGAGAACGTTATATGGAACGTTCGCATGGAGGCTCGGTTCTTCATCCCAGGTTCCATGGTTCCAAGGTTTTGGGATTCACGGCTCGATCATTTGGATGGATCATGGAGGGAGAGACCGCTTTTTGAGCACGACAAATAGCGCGCGCGGCGGTAACAGTGTTTATAGTAGTATTTATATTCTCTTTATGTTGATTGTGTATGCTGTATGCTATTGTATGCTCAACTTGTCGAATGACCCGGCAGCATCACTCCGATCTCAGAGATATTGGTCCTTGAGGAACGATGAGGAATTTGCAGATCACCAGGTTTTGAGAGCTAACACTGAATGGCCATGGCCCACCAGCGCCAGTTGCTCTGGCGCTCTTCACCCAATTGAGCGGGGCATGTGTTGATGCATGGTGTCGTTGCTCCGTTGGTGTCGTTGCCTTCACCCTTTTGGAGGCAGAGAACGCGGAGGTCACCCACGACGCCCTGTCGAAATCTTTGCAAGGCATCACTGCTGTACTTCGAGCTCCTTGGAAGCACAATGTATACGTCCCCGAAATAAAATATACGAACAAAACGCATGAACTGACAGGCCTAGATTCTCTCAGACTTGTCGAGGGCTTGTGAGGCATTGGAGGTTCTCCATGTGTTTGTTGTTTCATGAGGGCAGGGCAGGTCCGATCTCAGCTTAGCTCAACGAAAGTGACCAAACCCCAGGGCCAGGTTCGCGAAGAACCGAACCGTGGCCGGCCAGGAGAAGACAGACTTTGCCCTTTGCTTGGATTTGCGCGAGATGAGGAGTGCGCGGTTTCCGTACTGTGTGGAGGTCAAGCTGCTCAGATGTTCATGATATTCAGTGGATGGTATTCGCATGTTTGCGCCTGCCATGAAGACAGAGCATGTTACATCCTTCATGTTCGCCCAACGGTAGAAGGACTACCACCCCGACCTGTCGGACCACCGGAAAGACACGAAAAGCACGACATGGCGATCACATGGCGATCACAGCACCGACTCAGCCCCGGTCGCCCTCGTTCGGTGACACGTGCGGCGACCCGATGAGAAGTTACGCAGGAGGCCAGCGATGAGTGACAGCCGCACTGTGATCAATTGGATGAACGAAGAGGCGCTGGTGCAGGGGTGGTGCACGGGCCTGGCTATGCCTGGCTGCTGATGTCACTCAGTGTTGTGGCTGGGTCGTCCAATATGAACTATACATGCCCAAATCGTGGTCAACGAAGTCATCGCTATGATGATTAACATCCGTCCGTGTGGTGATGTATGTGTGACTCTATACGGGTACTTGTAGTGCAGTTGAAAGGCAAGATCCAAGGCGGGGGAGCCTGTTATGTTCTAGACATTACTAGACTCTTATTCAGCACTTTTGCAGGAATAACTACTGTTGCTGTAGCATGCAAATCTGTGTGAAAAGATGTGACCCTATGACATGTATGACATAATTACATTATACAGTATACATAACTTTAGAGGCAGAAGACAACCCTGGCTCAACAATGCCTGCGGTGTAAGCTTGGCTGTTCCGAGTGCCAGGAGAATAGCACCCTCCTGGGAAATCATGCCATGATTACTTGTGCACCTTGGCTGGTACTCATGGGATTAGGGACGAAATAAATGAGTCTGAGTGCTGCTTCTCGTGCAGGTGGTTCTATATTGCTGTTTGAGGACCAATAATTCTTTGTGAGGACCGTTTCGATGATTGCTGAAGATCCCCTGTTGTTTGCGCGTGGTAGAGCATCTTCTTTTGAACCGTGTGATTTCCCTCGGACCATGCCGCTAAGGGCACCTGAGTTTCTACCAGTTGGGGGGGGTCCATGGCTTTAGCTGTGAGAGCATGTGAGAGCTTTGTGTGGTTTGATGGGTTCGGCAGACAAGTTGGATTCTACAAGTCCTGCAGGGTGTTGCGTAGGTTCTGAGGAGTTCAGAGTGAGCAGCGGGGAAGAAATCGAAATCATAAGTCGATGCTAATATTAGAGTACAGCCATTACTCATTACACAGGAGCCCGGTGAACCGGGCTTTAAGTTCCGTCAAGCTTAGCGTTCGCAGGCAGCATGTGCATATTCAAAAATCAGTTGAGACAAACCATATTTGACAAACACCAGTGTGGGATGTTTTTTGGATCATTTCTGGTGAGACTCATGGGACTCCTGTGGTAGACAAACCAGAAATGGGACGCTGGTCGGTCGCGAGGTCATGGTGGCCAACAGCTGGGCCGGGATGGCCATCAGCACAGGCGCCGACGAGCGCCAGCGTCCGTCGTCGGGGCGCGGGCGTCACCGAGCGAGCGAGCCAGTCCCACTGGTGAGAAGTGATCAGAAGTTCAGGAAGCAAATAATGGAAAGACTGATATAAGTTATAGGAAGATTTGGATTTATTTAAAGACCTGACCTTGACGTTTCATGGCATTTCAGCATCGCAGCTGTTCAGTCGTGAGTGGGAAGACTCCTCGACAGCATGGCTGGTGCGTGCGAGAAAAAACCAAGCGCTCTTAGTGGTCCTGGCATGCGGTTGCCACCAGGGCAGGCCCTCTCCGGTGTGTCCAATGAAGAGCCCCGAGGCAGGCCTGAGGTGATTCGGGGTGTCCATGAACCACCCGGTGGTCGGACTGGGCGGCAGAGGTACCAAGATTATCCAAAGCCTTTGCAATCCTGCAAAGCCGGCGGCCGTCGTTTACACGGAGGACTGGACTGGTGGATCACACGGGTTGGAGCAGGGGAGGGGGTCCACCTGCCGAGGGTGTGTATCTTGAGGAGTCATCCAATAGCACCAAACAGCGCATTTTTTTAAATTTGGACATGTTATTAGATGTGTCTTTTTGGCGTTCCGGGCGTTGATTAAGCTATAGTCTTTAGATTTGAGACTATGTAGTCTCAAACGTTCTTGAGCTCCTAAGAAAATGTCCAGCACAAGAACACGGATCCAGCGACAGGATGCACGGGATGCCTTCTTGAAGGAGTCCATCGTAAAGCATGTGGCTTCCAAATGCGACAGCAGGCGACAGAGGATGATCCGGGGGTATAAGAGATGGATGTTAGGAGCAAGGACGCTACTAGGGGCTCCTGGCATCGCTACTAGGAGCAAGGACAATACTGGGTGAGGCATCCAAGTGGCCCAACAAAAATCACCCAGGTCCTGGAGGTGGTTCAGATTTGACTGCTGATTATGACTCCTGATTCAGATTTGCTTCACTGAAAGGCTTTGCAGCTAGTCACATAGTCATCGCTTGGTTGCCAGAGCTCGCCTGGTTCATTTGGAGCCTTGGTCATTTCAGGTCAACTGCCGATGAGTAGGCGCCGCAAAGCCAACTGGGTGGACGCCAGCACAACCAAGCGGAGCCCGTCTTCGTCCAACTGGGCTCCAGGTGCCGAGACGTTTGGAAGAGTCCATGTTTCAGGCCTCATTTGACATGCCCAACTCTCTCCATGTCGGATCCCACCATCGAAGTTGAGTCGGGTTGGAGAACACGTCGGAGGAAAAGCTCACGTCGATGCGTCGATGCTCATGTCGATGGTTCCTGAGTTCAGGGTGTGTCATTCGTTATTGAATTTTGACCCCATGCATGGAAAGTGGTGTTGATAATCACAAAATGACCCGAATTTCAACACAGCAAGGCCACTGTGGTCATGTTCCTTGTTCCCAACTGTTTGTCAAGGCATGTTGCAGTCTTTTTGGGGGCCAGTTCAGGAGAACTTTTGCTTGGCACAGCTTGGAGTTTGGCTCTTGTACAGTCCAGATCGCCAGCACATGCCAGCACAATGGAGAGGGTTATATATGACTCACATCACCATGTTCCCATTCATTCAACACCATTATGCAATGTCATAGATGATGTCGCTGATGTCTTTGGTGCAGACCAACTTCTGCTCATTATTCACTGGGGTGCTGGGTGTGGTCCGGTGGATTCTGATTCTCCTGTAACTCACTTTTATGAATTGAAGACAGGATGTCTAATTCGCAGACGCGGTGGCACGAGTGCTCTCTCGTGAGGAGTTGACACTCGATGTATGCAGATGGTGAGGCCGCTAGCCTCGACTGCGGTAGAGCACAGGGTTTTTGTAGAGCAAGCTGTGCAGCATTGTGCAGCATTGGGGGCCTCATTGTTCTTTTTCGATGTTTTTTGGGAGAGCTGCTACTTGCGAACAGAACAGAGCAAGCTGCTACTTGCATTTGTGGTTTAGCTTCCCTCATGTGGGATGGCAATCACCATCCCAGCGCAGGAAAGAGACTTACATGTAACTTCCATGCATGTGTCTCTGGTGTGAAAATGTCCTAACATCAAAAGAACATGCCCTCCCCCCAAAAAGCTCCGGTCTCTTTTAAGCTCGGGGAGGTGAAATAGCGGGACTCCAAAGATGGAAACCTTGGAAGAGCTTCATAACCGTCAAGTCGCCTGGGTAAATTCTACTATACTGAATATTACTTTTCAGCTCATATCACGAATTATATACAAAACCTCCAAATCACAAATTCAATGTGCGCTTTTAATCACATGATAAACTATGGACGATTCTTTGATCGTCACTTGCAAAGCTTCCATTACACATAAAGTTTTTGACAGGTGATGTGTACTGTCATGCGGCGCCAGGCAAGGCCTTGGTGGAAAGAGTGTTTGTGTGGCTCCCTGCCATTGGAAGGGGAAAGCAAGGAAATGCGTGTATCTTGCGACGCGTTCCTGGTTAGCAGAACGGTTGGTCCTGGTTTTGATAGGTACCTAATTTAAGCAACTACTCCAAACTCGCCCTGACAAGTAGAAAGGACAATTATAAGCAAAATTCAACGGCAAGCCGCAACTAGTGGCTTCCGACTAGACAAAGTGCAGCGTTTTTTAAATATGTGCCCCGCAATAGTGACACAACTTCATCACTATTTGTACGCGATGGCCCCTTTTTGGCTTTCCAACTGCACTTTGCTATCCTTTGGATTTTTGTTGTAGGGAAGCACTTTGGCATGTATGGCGTTAGAATTTGTTGAGACCACCAGGGAAAGTCTCAAGGTAGAAGGCGTCCTGGACCCTGTGACTTGCCAGCAGTCAAGTGCAGCCAAGTTGGACTGTGAAGTGCCAGGCTGCGGCTGAACTCTTCCCAACCGCTGTGTTGGGTTCGCAACATCCGGGGTATTTCTGTATGTTTGGTGCCAGCCAAGGCAATATACCAATGGAAACACAAGTTTGTGTTCGGTGCCAGCCCCCGCCCCTACAAAAACACCAAAACACAGAAATAAGAGGGACAGAACTCGAGATGAACTTTGTTTGTTCCCAAGTTGAAATGGCTGAACAGAAGTCATCGTAGCAACGTTGGCCCCCCGGGCTCGGCTTCTTTGCTCTTTGAAAAGCACTCTTTTCTCTCTTGAGTCCTGGTGGGGCGTTCACCAGGCGTGAAAGCCAGTCTATCGCGGTGATCTCCCAAGTCATAGCTGTCCGGGTCTCACACGCGAACGGCTCATTTTACACCGACGCATGACCCTTCTGCCCAAAATGCTTTGTGCAGGGGAGAGATGGGGATTCCTGGGGAAGACTGTCACAGTTGGGCGAAGAGTGTCATCCTAATGCCCTTGAACTTGAGGTTTTGCAATATAATAGTAGCATGCTAGTTAGCATGCTTTCAGCTGCTTCAGCCCATTTTTGTTGGATCTCTACATGGTCTTTGCCCATGCGGTTGGCGATTTAGGCAGCACAAAGAGGCTGAGGCAGCACGTATCCACACTGTGTGACCACCATTCTTTGCAGCTTCCAAACTTGACGGGTACATGACCTAAGAGATCACAGGTATGGAATATGGCTGGGGCCCATGTCATTTGATCCACCCCTCGATTGACAGACTGGACTGATTCCAGCAAGTTGGTCAGGTTCCGACGTTGGGCTGAAAGAGGTGCGGAAGAGGTGCGGTGGCGGTGGGCCCGTCCAGTGAGGTGCATGGAGTCATCGGTGTCAGCTCTTGCAGTGTCGCCAAACACTATGGCCAGACAGAAGTGTCGCCCAAAGATGGGGCACTCACTGAACCAAATCTCCTTACCCAACGCCCGTCCGCATCCACCGACGTCCGACCGGGTCGCAGCGAATCCGATCCGGGAGAGACCGGGCTCGAGGGTCCAGAGACCGGCGGAGACGACCTGCTTTCACGGCATTGGAGTCAAAGATTCCCTTGGACATAAAGGTATAGCTACTAAAGGTATCTTCAATATAAAGGTAGCTACCTGGTAGCTTTGTTTTCTACTATACTTCCTTGAGCTTCGTCTCATAAAGGTAGCTAATGCCAGGCTGGAGGCTCTACTTTGTGGGGTACGCCGGTACGCCAACCTCAAGCCTAAAGGAGTCTGAGTCAGGTCTTATGAACATTCAGGCCACCGCCATGTTCTAGATTCATCATGAAGGATTGACTCAGTTGGATTGCTTGCCCTTACACTTGCACAGCAGGCATCAGCAGGCCTTGCCCCTACTACCACCTGTGCCCAACCCCCAACGGTGGTGGGCCGGGCCTTCGAACGGGGGCGGCGCCATGTGGCTCCGGCGGCTCCTTTGGCTTGGTTTCATATGGCCAAGTTCAGGTCAACTGGAGAAATCCTACTCCGTAGCTGGGCCTGGTGGGCGCCGCCGGGGGGGTCAGGTATGGGATGAGCAGAAGCCAAACATGATCATTTGAGAAGCCTCCTGCTTCATTGTTGATTTGAATTCTTGCGGGAGCTATCCTGACCCTCAACACGCTACGAGCCAGAGTGAAGTACTTAATGTCCACCTCTGATTAATCAATAGGCCCCCCCCCCCCCGAAAGACCTCAAATAGACTTAAACACTGTTTTCAAATGTTTAGTATTGTTATGTATTGGTAGATATTTTTCCTTTAGTATAAGAATCTATAAAGGAAAGGAATAGAAGAAAGGAATCCATTGAGGACCCATTGATTCAGCAGGAATCCTCACCAGGATCAGCCAGCAGGAATCCTCACCAGGATCAGCCAGAAGGAATCCTCACCAGGATCAGGGGGGTCCTTAGCTGTATTTAGGATCAATCTTTATTTGTACTTGGGCACTCATGAGGGGTACCCTTGCTGAACTGTTTTCATAGCTTTGTTCACGATGTTTTAATAAGGGATTTTAAAAGAAAGCACCCTAGGTTCATTTGGATATTTTTCCTTGTCAGCTACTTGAAGAAGAGTTCATCAAGGGGAATGAAATTGGGATTAGATTGAGAAGAAACACAATAGAATCAGCACATTCCATTCAGAGAACAAGTTCATTAGCTTTATTCAAGGGCATGGCTTTATTCAGCTGATAAGAGGAGCTGATAAGGTCAGCAAGGTCCCAAAGTGGCAAGGACCAGGGCTGGAGGGTTGGTGGTAGTGTGTGTTGGTGGTGGTGGGTTGCTGTGCTTGCTGTGCTGTGCTGCTTGCTTTCTTTCAAGGCAGGATTTGTTTAAAGACATTTTTTAAAGGCTGGATTTGGGTCAATTTTGGCTGGATTTGGGATACCTAGGGCCAGGGGTAAAAACAGTTAGCTTTATTTAGGGGTAACTTAATAGTTTGTTCTGGGATTTGCTTAGCTTTATTGAGGGGATATTGATTCATCATAGGTCGACATTAGACCTATGTGGTGAAGTTGGTGGAGCTCTTTGTCGGTATGGCACGGCCGGTTATTGGATCACCTTGAATGTCCATCTCGCCATTGATAGCTATGACTGGTTGACTATGACTATAGTCTTCGGATGTCTTCGGAGTCTTCGGAATATAGCTTGTTCATGATTTCAGGGTTTTGACGACCAACGGTCAGAATGGTCAGTTTGTTTAGTCTCTGAATTGCATGTTTCGCCTGGTGGCAACTAAATTCATTGTTGCTATCTAGATTGGACATGAGGGTCGCGGTCAGAGGGGCTCAAGAAACATACAGTAACCTCCACTGCAAGCTCAACAATCTCAGGTTGGGGCCTGGGGATTTGTTTATCCCTCACCTGGTTTGCTCATGTTTGCTCAGCATGCATCGATTTGAGACGGCCATTGGTTGCCGCTTTCCCTGTCGGGACTCCATGGGACTCCTCGATACTCCTCGTTTGCTCGTGCCGTTCGTCACAGAGTCGACCGAGCCGATCGGTTTTCATCGGCGAACACCGAGGATTATGCCACCCAGCTGCGGGAACACCTGAAAGATGGTCTCGACCAATTGGTGCCACCGAAAAGCGATCGAGCGGTCAATTACAGTAAGGCAGGCACGGATGTCAGCACTCTGGCAGCATCGGTCAGATCACACGGGGCTCTGCCCCAGACAAGATCATATGCGGTAGTGGATATGGTTACACACGGCAAAGGAATGCAGCACTGCAACCCTGAGTCCTCAAGCCTTTGGAAGATGGGGTTGCTTTGCCTTTTTGTTTGTCCTTGACACATTTGAGATTTGAGGGCCGCTGTGGACAGTGGCCAAGAAGCCACGTGGCGAGCGAATGAATCGAAGCCAGGTATGAGCATTCGCTTCTTCAAGGTTCAAGGTGTGGATGCATCGGCTGGGCAGATGCGCCTGAAAGTGTGGGTGCGTTTGCAGTGGACGCTTGACACAGAAGTAGGGAATGAATGGCCAATTCTTCTTGTTGAACATGTTGCTGGCTTAGGGGTTTTGATTTACATGTGACATGTGTTTGCCCCTTCGGAGTTGTAGATTCAAGACAATTTGGTTTGCTGCTGCTGTTGCTGCTGCTGCTGTTGTGAGTCAGCACGACGAGCGGGATGCACACAGTTCCAGCTGCGCAACAGGCTTAGACAGTCCAAAAGACGTTGAGATGGTTTGATTTGCCCACCACAGGAAGAAACCGGGTCTCAACTGGGAAGTGGCCGATAGAACCAGTGAAAGAACATGCGCCACACATTCAGTTTGCAAGCCCGAGGATTTCTTCCACTGAACATCCTCCAAGTTAGGGCCTAGGGCCTTCACCAGGCTTCCTGGGGTCATGAAACCGCAAAAACGTGCGAACACCAATTTAGTAAAGAGTGGTCGTGCATGTGGCTAAAACCTGCAAAAGCTACAGGCCCCTCAAAAGCAATAGCCTATCCTGGGGTCTTGAATCATGCCCTCTTCATTACAACACGTTTTGGCAGTTGCTCAAGCGTTCTTTCCATGTTGATCCATGTTTTCGAGCAACCAATCGAACGTTCAGTGCGGAGAGAGGACCAGTGTTGCTGAAATCAACGAATAAGTATTATCCACGGCCCCTGTTGATGTTCATTTCATAGCCCGCCACTTTTGGGGGTGTTTCTGTGCTGTTTCATAGTTGGTGAGGACAAAGCGCTTTCCGAACACCCAAAGGGGCGCGCCGCGCGTTCGGTCGTGCGTGGACGGGGACCGTCGCCCCGAGGATCGATCAGCGGTTGAGTTGGGACCCCGCGGCCTTTGGCCCCACGGCGAACGCGCGCGTTCCGGCGCGCGCGTGCGTTGTGTGCGTGAAAGTCGGGTGTTGTCCTGGAAAAGTGACGACTTGAATGGGTGGACACACCCCCTTTGTCATAAATTCTGTTGTCATGAACGAAGATCGCCTTTAGCGGATGTGTATTTTCAGTGTCATTGTTAGTGATGAGTAGTGGATAGGATGACGTAGCCCGGCGTTTGGTTCATTTGTGGGGCTCGGGTGATTTGTGGCTTGAATTTCTACTATTCTTTGGATTTAGTCCGGGCAAAACAACCTACTAACTAAACCATCATCATCCCCCCGCTCGGGTGATGCACCGGGTTCGGTATGCTCTCACCGCTCTCGTCACCGAGGTAACGTGTCGCAGGTGAACTTCTACGCAGGGGACAGCACCGATGCAGAAGGAACCGAGATTTGGGTTCCAGAGACTCGGCTTCGAAAACGGTCACGACGCCGAATGGATCAGCCCGAGAGAACTGGGTTCGGTTCTGTTGTTGAGATGTTGGGACAGAATAGTAAGGGAGAGATGCGGAAATGATGGAATGATCAGCCTGTTGTTTGCTGTTGTTTGTTTGTTAATTTGGTTGGTTGGTTGGTTGGTTGGTTGGTTGGTTGTCGTTGGTTCGTTGTAGTATGTTGTAGTTGTTTTTTGTTTGATGTTTTTGTTTGTTATTTTTTTTTTTGTTTGGTTGGCTGGCTGGCTGGTTGGTTGGTTGTTGTTGTTGTGATGGTGATGGCCCTGTGGGTTGAGGTCAGTTTGGTGAACCTTTGACCGTATTTGCCTGGGTGATGAACCAGCTTGTATTTGGCTTTTTGAGATGATTCACCTTGCGGGATTGAAAGAGCCAGGTCAGGTCAAAGTCAGCCGGCACTGCCAGTCACTTGGTCCACTGATCTTGAGATTTGACAGACCTGCTGAGGATATTCAGCTGTACAATTCCAATGTCGGAACTCAAGCATCCTTGGACAAGTCCACGGCGATGCGACTTGCCTTCGTGGGCTCACTCTTTTGCTGGTCACGTTCGCAAGAACGACGTCGTTTTGCATGCTCAGGGCAATGGCAGATCTTTATTCAATGATTCATGTCATTCTACCAATTCTACCATTGCTCATGTGTTTCAAACTTCAAAATGAAACACATCCCGGACTGGTCGTGTGTCCCCAAGCTCGTTTCCCTTTGGTGCAGAGGGGTCAACCATTCAAAGTGTGAATTACATACGTGATTGACCATTTGTTGCGTTGAAGCATGTGACTTTGTCAATGGAGTTGACTAACTTGCTAGCTGCTAGCAGTAGTATGATGTAGTAGTAGTAGTAGTAGTAGTAGAAGTAGTAGTAGTAGTAGTTGTTGTTGTTGTTGTTGTTGCGGTTGTTTTGCGCGAGCATAAAGGTTGGTCTGTCATGTAGTCTAAGCCGACGTTGTTTTCTTTTAACGGGTTTGTTCATGTTTGTTCAACAACAATGAGAACTTGACACTGACACTACACATACATTTGGATAGATTAAGATTGCAGTATGTATAGTACAGTATAGTAAATACCGTGCACTGTGCACTCAGGCATGGAGTGTTTTGATTCTAATGAATGTGTTGTCGGTTGTGATGTCATAGGACTTGGCATAAACCATGCCCATCCCCATAATGCTCACTAAAAAATATAGATCTGGCGCATACTTGTTTGCTGATTTTGGATTGCAGCGGAACCACACCTGGCGCAATTCGTTGGTGCTCCCTGACTCCTCACTCCGCCCGCCCTCCGCGCCCCCCGGCGCCCCCCCTTCCTGCCTGGCTTCCCGAACACCGGCCTGCAGGGTCTACAGCGATGGCAGCGTGTTTTGGTCGAGACCTGGGCTCTTGGATTCGCTGTGCAAGTGTCTCGGACCTGGATTCGCCGATTTGTCCCGAGACGCCGCCCGTGCACGGCTGACCTGCCGGTGTCCGCAAAGAAAACCGGCAGATGTTTGGCCTAAACTGACACGAGGCAGTATAGCTTAGCATCCTTCTTAGCACACCCTTTCCAGTCGCAGCTAACTTTTTTGGAGGGACTGCCAGACTGGTCCACGCACTATGAAGAACACAAAGTGGACCTTCACCACTCAATGGTGGGCCAATGTCGTTTGTCAAGCCCCCAACAGAGCTCCCAAAAGAATCCAACAGAGCTGAATTGGCCGTTTTTCTCGGCCCCATGTTTCACAGAGCCCCAATGGCCGTTCGTTGTTGTTCGATCATTTTTGTTCGACCTTGGGGCCTCCAAAAGTTACGTGTTGATCAACGTTTGGTCCATGATTTTTTAAATGTTTTTCCCCCTGTCCGCGACGAAAACACGAAGCAATATGCAGCTTTTGGTGATACCTGGCCTCAGACAGGTTCTCGGGCCTCGTGGCGTTTCCCTTCGACAAGTTGAAATGCGCCATGGAGTGGGGCGGTTGGGCCTTTTCGGATGGCTTTCAGGCGCCGGGGGGCCGTCCGGGAGACCCCGCGCGGGTCACGACCGACGAGCTCGGAGAGATCAAAGCGAGGATCGAAGCGAGTGGGTCAAGTTTGTTGCTGGAGACTTTGGAAGATGTTCTCTCCTTGGATTCGTGTGTGTTTTAATTGTGATAATGTGACTTTACATTATAATCATTATAATTCATTATAATTATATGTATAGAGGCACTGTAACTAGCATAACGATATAATATACTATAGAGTTATTTTTGTGTTATAGTCTAGTATTTAAACAAATCATTCACTTGCTATTTATCCAGTCCCGGTCCACCAAAGGACCTTTTGATTGCATAGTTTTGGAAGATACCTCCTGCAAATAGAAAGCAAAGCAAATCCCTGTTTTGAAATTCAATCCCCCCCAAATCACTGGTTTGAACAGCTGGATGCATGAGATTTCTTGTATGCCATTCTTTATCAACGTTTGGAAGATTTGTTCTACTTTTCAAGTTGTTTCTTCTTCCTACTAAAGCTCTTGTAGTTGCTTCTTCTATATACAGTATTCAACAGTTGTTTCTCAAATTAAATCTATATTCACAGTATTCACAGAGTCTTGAACATTTCATGGTGTTGAGTCCAATTTAATGCATATGCCTGCTTGAAGCACCTTTGGATGTGTTTTCCTGGGTAGAGTTCAATACTTTTGAACACAATGGCCCGCTTCATGATGAAGAGTTCCCATTTACACTTCATGCCTCCATATCAAAAGTCATCCTGCATCATTTACACAGCACCCAAAGGAGCCTCCTTGTACCGACCCAAGTTCATGTTGTTGATATAAGCATGTGTGCAAAGAAATTGTACGTACTATGCCTTTTTTTACATATATAAATCATCATATCATTTATATGAGTTCATGGTCCTTTCACGGGGACCTCGCCCTGTATGAGCGAATCATATCCATTGCGAGATATTATGAGCGTTCCTTCATTCCTTCATTGGATCCATCCGTTGTGTTATTCAATCATTCAGCCTTATCCTTTGCGGTTATGTTTCCACTCTCCAAAAGAAGCAACCTTCATGGAAAAAAAACTAGGCTTAGCCAGAAACCTTTGTGGAACAATATTCTCCATTCAAAACACAGCATGCTAACCCAGTCAAAACTTCTGACAGCTTCCCACGGGGCACTCAAATTCAGGTTGTTCCTTGTACTTGTAGTTGGCTATTAGTTAATCAGATAGTCAGTTAGTTACTTAGTTAGTTAGGTTAGTTAGTTAACGAGTGAGTTAGTCAGTTAGCTGGTTAGGTTAGGTTATGTTAGGATTTGGTTGGGTTTGTAATTCGTTGCTGCAGTTAGTTTGGTTTTGTTTGTTAGGAGGTGCACTTGCAGGGCTCAAAGGACTTTCGCATAGATTGTTGATAGTTATTTTGCAAAAGTTATTGATTCACAAGAGGTTGTTTGTGTATACTGATTTTGGGCCCCATCCCGAATCCCCCTTCATTCTGGAGAAGAATCGCTCAGGGGATTGGTATTCAAGGCGAAGGCTATACGTTTCTGAACTCAGAAGACACCGCCGGCGCTTCATATCAAGTAGCCTGACTGCACTTGCTTCTTCGTCATCGGCCATGTTATGGCTGCATGGACGGTGTTGTTTCCTCCAACAACTGGGGTGAAAAGCATGCATCATTTGCATACTTTTGCATTAGTTTGCATTAATTGTGCTTTTGACTCGTACAGCGGCCCTGGGCGCCCAGCATGTCTACATCCGCCCATCGTTCACCCGTCGGACGACACGTTTCTCGCTCACAACATCCTCGATGAACACAAAACGTTCTCGCAGGCTTGCCTCCAAAAAAAAAAGATCCAAGGAATACTCTATCAAAGCCGTGCGGGTTGATGTGAAGACGACCTTTTATGAAGCGGTCCCAGAACATCCATGGACTGGGCTGAAGGGTCAAGGGTAAACGGCGTGAAGGCAGTTGGAATTCAGAGCCATGTTGGTCGCGTTTGTGCTAAAGATTGCTAATCATAGTGTCACAGATGCTTTCAATTATTTTCCGACTGGATCATGTCACATTCTGTCACTCCATCCTGGAAGTGCATCAATTTGGTGATCGTCATGACATCCACATTCACAGCTTCACTTATAATTACTTGTTGGGCCTTTTTGTCGATCCTTTTCTCACCGCTTGAGGACCATTGTGAAATACACCATCGAGCTGAAACTCAGCTCGCACAGCTGGCGTGACCCTACAGGGGTCAGACGGTCGCACACCTGGCCGACCGTTCGCTCACCGAAGTCTAATTTACTCACCGATCCGTTCCTGAACGTTTGCTTAAACAGGTTTAAACATAAGAAGATCAGACGTCCATTTGATGAGACGGCTTCAGTTGGACGTCCGTTTGATGACGGATCCGAGGAATCAGAAACCCGTCACAGTCAAACCTACCTATTCCAGTAGCGCAACTAGACGGATGATGCAAACTGCGGGACATATTTTATGCGCAAGCATGTGTCAAGAAGATTCTGTGATTTCATGTTTTGGACTGACCTCCCAGCCTCCCTGTGGAACAGTGTAGTAGCTGCTTAGCTGGTACAACCAACTTCACATGTCCTAACTTCTAACCATCATATCGAAGGTCGACCGTGACACGCCCCCAACTTGGTCCATTGAGGAACCGTGCCAGCTTCTACTATGACTTGCTGGTGATCCTGCCCACGGTGCTCATTACCTATCTCTCGTTTGGAGTCTTCTTCATGTCTTTCGAAGTGGGCGAAGCTGGGCTGCACCTGCAAGTCATATTATGCACGTTCCAGCTGATTGGGAACCAAACAATTCTTGGTGGTAGTACTGTATGCAGATATACGCAGATGTCTAACATTGTTACCAACGTATGAGGACAATTGGTTTGGGGTGCCCGAGATTCATAAGTCGTGCGTAGTCTTGAGACTGACCAGTTCATCATTTCTTTATATTACATTTTTGTTTTATATTCCTTGAGCTGTGACTGTCCCCTGTTTCAGCCTGTTTCTGTCGTTGTCCTCTCCACTCGCAACACCGCTTCAGGAGCGCTTGTCCTTTGGCATCACCTTGCTGTTGGTGGTGGAGGTCATGAAAGCAACCGTGGCGACCTTTATCCCAGTTTGTGGCGAGACCCTTTGGGTCGACCTCTTCATGCTGGTGAATACTGCGCCTCGGGTGAGAAAAAACGGCACGAAGAGGCGGAGGGGGCGGGTGTGTGTTGGGCAAGTGTCGTATCAGCATCAATAGCTGGGATGCCTTTTCCATCAGGATCGAATCCCCCATCATTGTGGCTGATGTAATTGGCATGTTGACACGACCTCTCACCAGCCTCGATCTCCAAGGCTTTTTGCTGCACCAGTTTGCTGGAGACCATGGCAGTTCTGTTCTTTGCTTTCCATATGGATGAGCCTTGCCGGAAGGGGCCGCTGCTGGGCGACGGTTGCAGGGTGACGGTCGCCGACGGACGCGGGGTGGACAGACTCGCTGGTTCTGTCCTGGAAGCTCGATGGACCAAATCAAGGGAAACTCAGGTGTAGAGCCGATCCCTGAAATGCCTGTGAAGAACAGCCAACAGCCCAGAGACCCAGAGGACAAGACGTTGGGCTTGCAGATTCAACGTCACGAAGAAGTAGAGAGTCGAGAGCAGAAGAAAATTCAAGCAATTGATGGGTATTGGGTCGTGCTACCACTCACAATGGGCAACATCTCACATCAGAGCATCAAAAATCCAAAAATCATGCCCAAGCGCTCCCATGGCAGAGCAGAGTTCCAGCTTGCTCCCTCTCGTTTAGGAACATTTGCTCCCCAGCTGGCTTGCATGGATGGCTCCGTGGATGTTGTGCGAGAAGGACCCGCAACGACGCTCGGCTTCGCACCGACGCGCAGCTTCGACCCGCTGGGCGACGCGGACCCGAACGCCGCGACCAGTGGCGCCGGGACCGGGGACCGGTCCAAGGACCTGAACAATCGCAAGCAGGCGGGGCCGCGGACGTGGGCACACGCGCACGCACAAACACGCATTGTATATTGATTACTTAAATGTACAAATACACACACATATAACATATACCTAGACCCCGCAAAAGACGTATTTTTTCTGGTGAGGGCAATTTTCAGGCGAAGCTCAAGAAAACCCACACAACAAACAGTTTTGGTGTCGATTTTTGTCACTTCTGCGTTGTTGTTTGTCACTTCTGCGTCATTTTGGCGTCATGTTTTCTATCGCGAATTTGCTGCATGTTTTTGCGTCATGTTTTCTGGCGAGACGGACAAAAAGACATCGTTTCAGGGTCCAGGTATATATATATATACTGTATATATTAGATAGACTCATAGATAGATAGATGGTTTGGGTTTTCGTTCCTTTGGCGGAGCTGGTCTTCGGTGAAACCCAACGGTGGGTGTTCAGTTCCAGGTCGGTCGTTTCAATCTTGGCTGTGTCAACATGCCCCGCGACTCGTGGCTCACTAAGAAGTTGCACGCCCCGTGGGGTGTCTCAAATGCCTGTCGGCGGGTGTCGCCCTCATACGCAACGCATTGCATTCCGTCGGAAGAGGCAGCATTTATCGCCGCTTGATTGCCGGAGTGAAATCTGGATCGAAGTCTGAAGCGGAAGATCCGACCAGTGACTTGGCATATGGTTCCGGGATGGCCCACACCATCCTACAATCCAAGTCTTTTAAGAAGGTGGGTGTGGTGTAGGCAAGACAAACTGTTGGGGAAAGATGGACAGACCAGTGGACAGACCATTTGGAAAGACCATGAAAGACCTGGGCTGTCTCCAATCTCTTTGAGGCAAGATCTCCCAGCAGCTCAAAGAAAAGGAGGGCCTCTCCGAGACAGCCGCCAGTCCGCAGAGGATCGGTGATATAGGTTGGGTCATCCTGGAGGCTGGTGCAGGGTGAATGCATGGTGAATGGTGAGGATTGCCAGTTTTAACTCACATGTATTGACACAACCACCAATCTCCCCGTGGATGTGTAGGATGTAGGATTGCAGTTTGGATATGGAGTGTATTTGGACTAGCATTTTGTTTGTGGCGTAGTCTGGGCAGTTGGGTTTGAGATGTTGACTGTTGTGATCATTAACAACATCATGTTAACCGTTCATATGAAGTTCATATGTCAAAACAACACAACTAATGCAACATGGATTTGATGCTACGGCAGTCGTGGCACTGCTGCCAGTGCGGAACATTGTGCACTCTCCACAACCCCAAAGAGCAGGATATAGTTCCGGAGAACGTCCAAAGACCGAAGATCGAGGCAAACCGAAGAGGGTCGCCAAGCCCTGATAGGGGATCGCCAAGCCTCAAGGGGTTGGAAGACAGGTCTTCATTTGAATGTCGCTTCTTGACGTGCTGTGAGTGACTTCCCAAGGATACAGCCAAGCTGATTTTCTTCGAAAACCTCTTTTACTTGACGGACTCCGGTCACGATGGCTTGATCGAGGTGGAGGCACCTCTGCGGTGTTCTGGGAGGGGTGCAAGATGTTGCGGAACCTCTTGCCACAGTTCTGGCCCTTTTCGGGTGAAACCAGGTCGAACAAGTTGAGTCTATGTCGCAGTTAGAACAGATTCCAGAAGGATTCCAAAGGTGGCCAACAGAGATGTCACACGTTGAACTTCGGTTGGTGGATTGGGCACGGGGCAGGCAAAAAAACATGCGAGACTACTTGTCTTCGTTACAGTTTCAACCTCCCATGTCTTGCCAACTTGTTGCTTCACTCGCACATCTTGCTGTGTGCAGGGCCCATACTTCAGGCCCCATACTTCGCCGGTAAACAGCTGTTCATGGCTGAAGCATGGCCCACATGGCATGCGACACGGCCAGGAGGCTTGCCAGATGTTGAGCTTCGTGAACTTGAGTATGTCCCGGCCTACCTTGGAGGCGTTTATCCACGAAGCTGGGCATTGGGCACTGCGGCAGGGGGACACGCGGGGGTATATGATGACGGTTGTAAGGTGCAGACATTATGTGCAGACATATATAATCAAAGAAGATTAATTATATAATTGCTCACATGGCATGAAAGATATCCTTTTGGAGGGGTAACATCCATTTTGGACGTTTTTGGGCATGATCGTGGCACTTGCCTTTTCTCCAGTTGGCATCCTTTTAGTCGTGCCCCACTTCTCAAGCTGTTTCAAGTACAGGCAGTAAGTCATGTGATGCTCCAAGCCAGGTTGATGAGGATTGACTCGGATTCTGTCCGAATGGCGGAAAGATGAGAAAAGATTTGCCTGTTCACTCTAGACATGGGTTCCAGGGCAGACGACAAGGGCGGTTATATAGTACCCGCCAAGCGCCGTATCAAGCCTTCCTACGGTCGATGGGACCAAATCTTCTTCCAGCTCCGTTCATCGTTGCTGTTCAAGAACCCCAAACGACCCCAAAATACGCACGTCGTTGTACCTTGCCGACGCACCGACCCATCCAGTTTCTTCTCTTCTTATCCTTCTCTTTTTGAAAGCGACTTCTTTTGCCCCTTCGCCCCTAACACTCCGCCCATCTGGCCTTGCTGTGGAATGGGGTGGAAGAGGTCAAGGCTTGAAGGGTTTGAATAATTCCTCCATCTACGGTAGTTTCATGTGATACCTGTGCCATAGAGACCAGCACCTCCCAGAGTGGGTTGGAAAGACTTATATGTTTTCATTAAACATGTTCATACATCGTCGTGAGTACTTGGTTTGCTTTGGGAACGGTGCGTTCCGCAATCGTTCTGCGTTCGATCGTCCAGGGCTCTGAACGACAAGAAACATGACCTCCCTCGTCCTTGGCTGAGGAGAAATGGCCAAATCACAAAGACGGTCTCACATGCAGTGACTTCATGGAGAATCAGGGCTGCAGGCTGTCCAGGAAGGGATGCCGGCAGTCAGGCTGTAACCTGGTTCTCGAGCTCAGATTTTGGGCATTCCAACAGTGAAAGCTCCCTTCATTCCGTTTGAAGACAAAGCAGGTTAAAATTTCATCCAACTTTGATCCTTTGCGTTTTGAGCCCAGGCCCAGGCTCAGCACTTCTTAAGCCCTCGGTTGCTTCGGTCAAGTAGTTGTGGGGGCTTAAGCAAGCAAGCTCTCCATCACCGTCACCTCCACCACAACAACCATTTCTAGAGTTGTGATATGTTCGGATATGTTGTGATGTTGGGGTCAGTTTGAGTCGGGCGAGACGTGTTCAACTTTGTGAAAACCAGGCCAGGGACCCAGGCAAGTTCAAATTCTGAACTCTGAGGATTTGTTTGGAGCTGATGTGGGTCACTCCCTTTGAAGAGATCCGCATGGGCGCTGAGAACTACAACAGCACCCTGGCTGGGTGTTTTGGTCACCGGAAGCTCCATGCCTATGCATTTTTATGCTTGCTCCAGCTGCGCGGTCTAGCTATGTTTAGCTTGGTTGGAAGGTCTCCGCACAGGCTGGTTTGGTCAGAACTCATTTGCTTCACGTGGTCGAGCCAATCGATGCACCGAGTTGCCAAGATCGGCTCTTCAACACTTAATTCGTGTAAATATGACATATAAATACAGTTAAAGACATACACTCGAGTCGAGGACAAGTCATGTCAACAACATCGATTTAGTCTATTTTGAGCCATTACTATGCATCGGTTTATCATATGAATCATCATGTAGAGCCGGTAGATGGCGGTAGGTAACTGCAAACTTCTGCCTAAAACTGCCAAAACCCTGCAGGATCTTAAAACGATAAAGACCCAGTAGCATGACCCTTGCCAAGACCGTCACCAGCCTACCTCGCCATCGTTGTGCACCGAGGTAGCTGCTCACGACGTACAAGGCGCCTTGCGGTTTGATTCCACATAGATCGAAGAATCTGCCATTTCTGTATGCTCTTGGGAGGTTTGCATAGATTTGCACTGTTTGAAAGAACTTCTTCCGTTTTGCGGGGTTCCTTTCTGCTGGGCTTGGGGCTTTCTGCGGGTGCCACCCAAGAAACCCGGCGGGGCTCAAGCCTGCGAAACCCATGTGGGACCCCAGGCTGAACTCCGCATATTGGTTGAGCTGGTCAAAGGCTATCGACCGATGGGCCCGCTTTTGGTTGCCGATGCTTGGTCCGTGTTCGGGGCGCGCGAAGCACTAGTTTTCAGCGCGGAATGAGCTCGCTCTTGGGAGGGCGGGAGGCGGGAGGGAAGGCAAAAGCACCCAAACTTTGGGCCACTGCATTAAATATACAATATAGATATAACATGATATAACATAATTAATATATGAATGATACACGTGTGTTGGTGCGTTTTATGCCTACATGAAATTAGTATGATATCCAATTCATATTTGTGTGTGTGTGTGCGTCGAACATGTTTTCCATGCACTATTGAGTTTTGTACGTCATATTTGGGACCTCCTCGCCTGGAAGCATTGACGTCCTAGAAGCAAGTGTGATTTTGATGGATGGCCGCACACGTCCATAGTTCTTGTTCTTGATAGTTCTAGTCAGTCCAGAATTCCCAACATTGTAACATAGCAGACACTACGTCCAAAAAAGTATCCAAAGTAGAGTTCCCAACTTGGATAGAGAAGCCTCGCTCTGAGGCCCACGCTTCCAAAAATACAAGAAGCAAACCTCGCTTGTGCAGCCATGAGTTCCATGGCCAACCCGTGCCAAACAAGAGAACACGCGCGGAGCGCTATTTACGCGGAGTTCAGGATGCTGTATACCATCTCACTGGGAATCTTATTCAACCTGGAGTTTACTGACGAGCCCTGGCCGGTCAGACGCGTGCTGATTTTTCAGACTTGGTCAGACGTGTCAGTACCGGTGTCTGAGAACATGGAGCGTTCTTAAGCCTTTCAGCCTTTCTTCTTAAGCCATGCAGCGCGGCTTTGTTCTGTTTTGAAGCTCAGTCCGATGAGATGCCTGTCCCACATGCCCAGGACTACGAGACCGGTGGCTCCACCATGTTTCAAGGCTTTGGGCCAGTGTTCGTGACCGCAGCCGGCGTGCCTAGGCGTCACTTGTAGACACGACCTGTTTTCAGGGCTGAAAGGGATCACTGCAAGAATCGGCAAGAATTCACAGGTCACTTTGGACTAGTATTTGGGCGCTTTAAAAGGGCAGACCCATGTAGATTCATTGGGTTTTGCGGGGGCACTGGATGGTGGATTTCCCGCCAACATGCAGCCCACTTGCGTCAGAGGTCTTCCGAATGTTGGTCATGCCCTTCTTCGGGCTTGTCTGCATTGCTGCCTGGGTCTACATGAAGCGTCGCGCCATGAAGAGACTCGGTTGGCCATTGCTATTAGGTTGGAGGCCACCGCAAGTAGGTTGGAGGCCATTGTTATTAGCTTGGACCGGACGGCTTCGGCTTCCACCGACCCCGCCAAGGTGTTGGCCTCGGAGAAAGTCAGTGTTCGCACCGGTGTAGCTCAGCGACCTTTTTCTCGCTTGTTGTATATGTGTTAAGAACCACGGGGATCGGCCTGAAGAGCTCTTCAAGATCTTCAAGGCATGTATGATATATGATTTATGATGTAACTATATATATATTGTTTTTTGTCATGCAATTTCATTTATATATAGGGTGTGCAAGGCACGAAGGGGAGCAGCGAAGAAGGGATAGCAAATGATATATGTATTGTAATATAATTACCTAGAACCGACGAGAACCCATTTGATCTCCTTTTTGGTACGTAATGCCCTGCAGGTCCATGTCGTGGCCCGTCGTGCGATGCCCAGGAAAACGACCAGGAGCAGCCAAGTTCAACCAGAGCCTCGGCTTCAGAAGGGAAAAAGAGTTGCCTCCAAGACATCCTGAAAAAGGGTTGGACTGTGCAGGCAGAAGAATGCCTTTTCGTTTCAATTGGTCAAAATGTAGCTTCATTTGGGAGGCATGGAAAGAATAGACCCAATTCACAAAGACGATCATGGAAAGAATATGAAAGAATAGACCCAATTCACAAAGACGATCAACGGTGTTTGATTGCTTTTGACCGGCCATCGTATGTAAGCGTGACTTGTGGACTTTTAGAGGCTTGAGGTGTCCAGAACGGCTCGATTGCCAATGGAGGGCTGCCACCAGAATATGGTGGCGTTTCCTGGAAGGGGTGGAAGTCGCCCCAGAATGAATCATGAGTTGTCGCTCTGACTTTAACAGACTTTCTTGAGGGTGTATGGGAGGTAAAGCTCTTATAGCTATCGCCCATCTTTTGAGATCACGTGATTGTAGCTCGTTCACCTATGTTCACCGCAGCCGGGCACCGCCTTTCTGGGCACCTCTTGTCCTCCTCCGCCCAGGAGGAGGACACAAAGAAGGTGGTGGTCCCTCGCACCTGGGCCCAGTTTCCGTTGCAACGCCTGTGGTCCGTCTGGGACATGAAGCCTTTGGAGCAAGCTAGTTCAATGATGTATGTATCACATATGTATATATTTTATTTTAATATATAATGGAGCCATATAGAACCCAGGCACCCTGTTTGGGCATGTTTGGACTACCAACCACCCTTAGAAAAAAAGTCATTGGCTCCTGTCCAAAGGAGGGTGATATATTATTGTTTCATTAGTATCCATTTTGACATGAACCGGTGGTCTTCAGACACGCAGTGACACGCAGCACATGGCCTGACTTTTCAGAGCATTGTCTCCTGACTGAGGGTTCCGATTTTTGTTCCAATTTCAGAGCCTTTTGGTACTGGTATTGCTTGAGGTAAAGCAAGTCCTCAATACACACCACGGTGGACACACAGGCATATTTCAAGCTAAAGCATGTATGATCCAAACTCATGTGGAGTCATGTTCTGCATGATTCTTAGTGGTCCAAAGACTGAAGCAGGTCCTCAGAGATGCCCCCTAGGCTCCCGACTCTTCCTAGGCTCCTAGGCTATCAGCTCCATGACCAGGTGTGCGGGGACCGGCTGACCAGTGGAACAGATGTGGCTAACCAGTATGTTAACATGAAATGTATGCAGTAGACCGCCTCAGCTTTTCCCAATCAACGCGAGTTGGGTGGCTGGACATCGACCCCCCCGGTGACTATGACCTCACACGAACCGGGTCCTGAAGCTCACAGCAGATGCCAGGCCGCCTATCCCGGTTGGTCGGTGGGTCCGTGACGCACTCCTGAGGTTGGTCCGTGAAGCAGCCTGTCACCACTGAAGACATTGAGTGACGCCCTTCAGCCGATGCGCCTCAGGCCCTGCATGCTCGATGGAGTGGGAGCCCCTGTATGCCCCTGTATGCTTGTTCTTGTGGATTTTCAGAGCGTGGCACAGACAACCTAGAACAAGACTCACATGGCTGAAGCATTCGCTGCTAAGCATCAAACACATAAATTCACACCATCCTTCTGTGTCAATGAGGCTGCTGACACAACCTTGCGGGTCCGGACCTGCACACCCAGACCGGACCCGCGCGGGCCCCTCGCCCTCCCAAAGGGACGGCAGGACGCACCAGAGAGTTGGAAAGGCCGTGTTTTCCTTGGCGGCGTGGAAGCTGTTTAAGGCAGTGGTGCAGGGCAGTGGGGTCGGGGTACCAAGCATCTGCCGGTGTGGGTCGGACTCTTCAAGGGTCAAGCGTATGCGTGGGACGGCGCACACTAGCGACCATGTGAAGCTCCAGCTGGCGATCGCCCACCGGATAGGACTACTCCAGCTCCCCATTTCACCCCCCGAGAGGCCCAGCCGGAGGTGCTTCGATAGCTGGCGCTCCATGCTCCCGGCCTGCCAGACCTCCAGTGCCCAAGCATCGCGCGGTCTAGACGTGGGAACACGCTGAACATCGTCTTGTATTGGCTCGTGAGGGACCTGTATATATATATATATACCTATACGACATAAGGCAGATGAAGTCGGAGCAGCTTCTGAAAAAGCAACAGTTGACGAGTGGTAAAGCCCACAGCCCACCACGATTTTGGGTTGGGGTCCTTTTGCACACTCCTACCTGGTGTGTTCAAGCGTTTGGCCATGTTTGGCCGATCCCATTATTTTAGGGAAGGCACGCCGTCACATGGAGAGAGATCAGCCAACTTCGTCAAGACGCACTCTCAAATGGCGTCCGGTGTTTGTAGACCCATGGTGCTGGTTTGGCTGCTCCTGGCAACGAGAAGCCTCGCTCAGTTGCAGTATTCCTACACTGAGGCTTGGACCGCTCTTCAGTCTCCAGAATTATCAGTTCTGGGCTCCATCCATCTAGCAAGATTTACGGCCTAGCCCAGAGGATCCATAGGCCAATGTTTACCATGTGCATCATTACCTCCTTTTGGGACTTGTGCTGTTGATTCTGCCTATGGGCAGCACCAAGTGCTGTCTCCACGGACGTGTCCCGCGGTACCTCGTTTGAAACCTCTAAAGCAGGCTGAACAAACATGTACTGTAATAAGTCCCAATGATGCAGATTAAATTGTTCCCCTGCAGATTAACATGAATGTAATTCCAAAACCACGGTCTTCGGAAAAGGGTCGAAACCACGGGTCAATTCTCAAAGTTCATGGGCTCGTTTGCTGGGTGATCTGGGTGGTTGTCCACTTACAACACCCTCTTTTCAGGTGTACATATATACCTAGGTAATCCTCGTGTGTCGAATTTAAGTCGTTTCACAAAACATTAACTATTCCCGCCGTCACTGTTAAAATTTGTTGTTTGGAAAAAAAACGCTCACAGACGAGACCTTGGAATGACCTCCGACCCGCACATCCTCGAATTTCCTCGAATCATTTTCCATGCACGTGTCCAAACCCCTGCACATGTCCCAATGCGGTGGCGGCAATGCGAGCACTGGTCAGGATCCAACATTCAAGAACAAAAGAGGTATACATAACACCGGAACTTTGATCGATACAAAAACAAGTACAAAGTCCACATCTAATAAGTGTAAGGTGTATTGTGTATAGTCATAACCAATGTGAATGGTCATCATGCTTATGCCTTGCCACCCTTTCTTCTGGAAGCTTTTAGCTTACCAAAATGTCTCTGTAAAAGAATTGCGGCCTTGACCAGGTAGAATTCCAGCACTTTCGAAGTGCAAACACGAATGTCCACTCTTCTTGTTAAACGGCTCATGCGGCCTATAAAGTCCTCATTCTGGCTGCAATCCCAATGGACGGGATTTGCAACCACCAACGCTCCGGAATTGAGTTGATGCCACAACTCATGCACAGTATGAAGATGGAAGTGAAACTTGGGAACTAACGCCCAAAGGCATTGTTGATCTTCCCATGCATGGTCGGCAAGGATCGCATACCCTTTCAAAAATGACGCTCCCACCTCATACAGGTAAGCTCCGCAAGACGGTGAAAGCCAGAGCCCATGCCCGTACACCAGCTTAAACCATCGAACAGCCAGCCGTGCTGAAGAAAGCATCACTTCCACGGTTGGAAGCTGGTTTGGTCCAAGACGATGATCGTTCAGAACCCCCACACAAAGGGAGATAATCCATTCCAAACACAGCAGGCAGTCTGAAGCCTTGCAGTTTATCCAAGGGTAAGACCTGCGACTGTCATAGTTGAAAAGACTTGGACTGAAGGATCTCAAGGCCGCTCGCTTTCCCGTCATGGTTTGCCACATCTTGAAGTGCCCCCAAGCAGCATCCAACTTTTCATGCACCTGGCCACCTACAAGAAAAAATCCAGTCCGGAGGATCCAAAAAATGCAGGAACCTGCGAAGTGCCTGTACAAACCCAGCCTCAAGCAATGGAATTGATCACACTTGTACAGGTACTCAGGTCGCTGACTATCAAAAGGGATCTTCAACTGGTAAGGACGTTTCTGCGGAAGCCATGGACGATCCGTGAACATGCTCCTTGTCCATGTTGCTGTTGGGCCCTGCTCTTCTGCAGGGACGCCAGGCATCCCTGCGTGGCACCAATGGCATTGAGCCAAATCTCTGGTTGAACTCTTGTTCTCGAATCCTCGGGTCAATTTACACACCTTCGAATGCCATTTCAAATCGGCTTTGCAGCCGACAACCACCAACCTCCAGGTTACCCCATCGACAACGAAACCATTGTAGAACAACTCAGAGAGTTGGCTGGACATGAGCTCCATGATCTCTGCAAGCAGTTTCTCATAGACCTGCTTGCCTAATGTCCCTGGCAAGACAAAGCAGGGGAAATGCTGTAGAAAGCTATGTCCCTGCATGTTGGATCTCAGGCTCTTGGCAGTGGCGTGGACATCAATGTCACGTTGCTCCTCTGAAAGATTCATGTGAGAAGGTACACATTCATCACACGATGATTTGCCCTTGAGGCCCAGTACTGCTTCCCACGATACAACTGTAGTGTTGGATCTACGCTTTCCTCGACCCTCGTCTCCATGCACAGCAATCGGTATGCACCAGCGGAGCTCGTTCTCGAACAGTCTGTACACCTCGTGAGTGCCGTGAAAATTTCTGTAGGCCTCCCAGTATGCTTCGCATATGGACTCCGCAGCATCAACAGATGGATTTCCCAACAAAACCATTGGATGCTTCTCCATCAAAAACCCAGCAAGCTTCTTGGGATGCATGTAAGTGATTTTCAGAACCTCACCATTGGAGCAAATGTGCTTGAAATTGTCCAGAGGTACCCTCCATCCAACACCCATTCTTCGGATTGCACGCATCGCATCCCTGCTGTGATTGTACTTCTTTTCTGACTTGACTGAATTCTGGAGGTTGCCAAACTCTGCTTGGGCAGCTTCTTTCAGTCTGCTACATGTGGTTGCAGGAACCTGAGCTCCCAAAGAAACATAGAACCCAAAACTGTTTTCAACACCGTGGCCTCGGTAAAACACAACTCAAAGGAAAAGTTGATTTTACAATCTTACAACTATGCAACTCCATCGGCCATTGCCTCTGCAAAGGCCTCCACAAGTGGCCTTTTCCTGGAAACCTGCAAGGAATCATCACCTGGCATTTCCAAAAATGGTAACAGCCTAGGGAACCTTGAAATGAATATCAAAAGCTGCAAGCTTCAATTCATTTGATTTACCTTCAGATTTACCTTCAGAGTTATGCAGGCAGTGTTCTGTTTCCCCGATCATGGAGCCATCTCCAAATAAAGGCAATTGCTCCTAAAAAAGCAATCGCTAACTTGCTAAAGGTTTGCATCTTCGAATTTCAATCGCTCAAAACAGAGCGGTCCTGCAACAAATGCAAAGCCAAAAAATGGCTGGCGGTAAGATCATGAGCCAGTACGACGTTTTTTTGTCTCTGACTCTGTCTTGGCCTTTGCGGCAGCGGCCTTTGCTTTTGCACGGACAGACTGCCGCTTCCGATCACCCTTGCTGGCACTACCCTTGCTCGCAGCTTCACCTTTAGGTGCCACCTGCCTCAGATACGTCTGAAGGGTATGCCACAAACAGCTGGACTTTCATGGATGCCAAATCTCATGCGATCACATTTTGGGGACCTGGCTTCATGCGTACTTCGAGGCTTAGTGCTTCGACTGCCCTTGGTAACGTACAACAGCGAAAACAACAAGGACTATGAATGCACTCTGAGAAGGTGGCATTTTCTTGGCATCATCGAGTAGTTTCTGCAGCTGTTCCTCCGCCCTAAGTATAAAACAAGTTAACACCTTATTGCAACAAAATTGATGACCATACAGACCAAATCTCAGGTGTGCACTGTTTGGTGAACCCGTCAATGATTCCCGTGGTGTATGTCTCATTTAGAGTCTCTTCCTTGGCCCGGAGGTTGGTCATCACATCCTTGATCTTGAGCTGCATCCTCAACACGCTTACCCTAAAGATAGCCCTCCCCTCAAACGCAAAGAACTGTCGCTGATCATAAGAATGTCATAAGAATGCAAACTCTTGTCTGAAAAAAAAACAAGTTTCTTTCTCTGTAGGTCTGTCAAGGTCTCCACTGCATCAAACTTCTCCAACCCTTGTTCAAGCATCTTAGAACGCTTGGTGATACATGTCCTTAGCCGTTGTTTCTGTAGAAATGTGTGCACACTTCCCTCTAAAAAGCAGGAGCATGCTTTGGTATAATTGTTATTGAATTGATTAGGTGAGGTCAGGAATCAAGATCTTTGGTACTACCGTGCTGGGCAGTGCATCTGGGTCAACTTCTGGAATGCCTGCCCTCTTCCGTGTTTTAGCAGCTTCCTGGGCTGCCTGATCTCTGGCCTCATCTCCAGAGCTGACATCAACGTGAGCCTCCAAGGGGTCATCCTCGTCATTTGAGCCTGAACAGTTTCTAAAAGGTCACACAGTGAGGCAGACGTGCAGAAACAAAAATTTGTAGCATAAAACATGGGTTGTTGTCCAAAATCTCTTCAGTCAGTACTTGATCCTTACCCGATTCATGTGTTATGTTATGTTTTCTGAACCCAACCTGAACCCTCTTGTTCAGCATCTTCCTCCAAAGGTGCCTTTCTCTTTGATTCCTTTCTGGTCTGGTTCTTTTCACCCCCCTCGGCTTCAGGAATAACAGCTGTTTTTGGAGGACCACCAACTCTGGCTGGACCATCAAAACAGGAAAGATCTTGCCCTTCCTGTCCATCCTCTTGCCACTGCAGCTTTCGTCTCGTTGAGACTTTGCTGCTCCGCCTCAATCAATGACCAAAACAAAACTATACAAATGTACGTGCCGCAAAGAACTCGACAGTTTCTGAGTAGTTGGCACTCGTCTTGCTTTCACAGAGGTTTCAGCCCAATATAGCATAACCCGTTCGTAGCGGTCCCACCTGCGCAAATGTATCCTCAAAATATTTCAACATGGTTACAATCATAAGAATAAAGGTCAGGTAAGTTATGTTTCCCACAGTTCTGAACAAAGCCTCATCAGTTTCTTTGGATCTTCCCGCGCTGCTTTCTTGATTGCAGCCACCCTTTTCCTAAGCCAACCAAAAGATAGACCAAACAAACTCAAGCTACAATGATCAAAACCTCATCTACACCTAGGTGCTCGCTCCAGCCCCAATCTTCGATCATTGACGTTTCCGACAAGTACTCACCCTCTATGATCAGGTCATCCTCCAAACTGTCTTCGCGGAGTAGTTCACATTCCTGGATAAAGCTGTCCTGGCAAAGAAAGGGTATCCTGATTGAAAACAAGGGATGTTGAAAAGTGAAGCACCAGAAAAATAAACAAGTTGTGTTTGGGCCATGGAGTCCTTGCAATATCCACATGACTGGAAGAGCTTGTAAAT